CTCCGGGGTCCCGGGGAGGATCAGGGAATCGGACGCCTCGTCCAGGCGGTCTTCAGGCAGGTGGAGGGCCCCCGTCGTGGGGACCGGAGCATCTGCATCTGGGGTCTCAGGCGATGACATGAAGGCCACAGAGCTCTCCTGAAAAGGCAAGACGTGTCTGGAGTCGGGGGTTCAGCCCGGGTGCCCCCGCAAGAGGACAGGGGCCCCTAGACCCCACGCTCAGTGGGGCCAGGCCGGCTCTGGTCTCGGCGCTGCCCTCACGGCTGGCTCCGCTGGCCTCGGTGCCTCAGTTTCCCTCCAGAGTCTAAGGCGCCTCCAGCTCAGCCCTTGGCTCGTGTTCGGCTGACGCTCAGGCAGCGAGGGGCTCGCCGCAGCTGGAGTGGGTCCCCCCGTCCCAGCCCGGGGCTGGCCTGGCCTGGAGCACTCACCAGGCTGTCTCTTCTGTAAGGGCGTCCTGTGGAGACGGGTCCTGGGAGACAGACGGCAGGGGGTTACCGGAAGGTGCCAGGAGGTTCCTCTGAGCTGAGGCGGTTCCAGAAGCGATCACAGCCCCCCACCCCCACCCCCAGATCAGGGAGCTCCCGGAAGGGGCCACTGTGCCTCGCCCCTGTTTCCTGGTTGCACAGCTTCCAGAACCTGCCAGGAGCCCAGCGTCCCGAGCTCAGCAGCCCGGGCTCTGCCCCACAGACCTGCCCACACCCTGGCCTCGGCCAGGGCTGCCACTGGGAGATGGAGCTGGCACCCGTCAATGACGCCTGAGGGACCCCCTCTCCAGCCAGGCCCGTCCCTCAGCCCCAGGCACCGGCCAGCTAAGGCCCAGCCCTGTCCTCCCTCAGGCGCCCGGACCGGCCCGGTTGTCACGGCCTCCCGTCCCCTGGCTCCAGCTCGGTGCTCACCTGCATGGGGACAGCAGCAGGCCGCCCGGCCGCCTCCGTCTCCGGGTTTCCTGACGCAGAGAATGACGAGGGCCCCGGCCACCGCGGCAAAGAGCCAGCCTGCCATCCAGCAGAACCGGTGTCGTTTCCCTGGCCCTGCGGACAGATTGTGCCTCAGCAGCCACACCCCCCGGTCCCTGCAGCCACGGACCAAGGCCCACAGACCAGCGCTGAGCCTGGGAAGATGCTTGAAGGACATGCAAACACGAGGCTGAGGAGGTCGGCACCCCGTGTCCACGGGGCTACAGCACTGCCACCCCCAGTGCTCGTGGGCCGAGGAAGTAGAGAGAAGTCACGTGTAGCACACACACATGTGCACACATGCATGCAATACACACCACACATGCACGCATATATGCATGCGCACATACATCACATGTGCATGCACACGCATCGCATATGCATGCACACACATCACATATGCATGCACACACATGCACACGGGAACGTTATTCACCCTTAACCTGAAGGGCTTCCTGCCTTTGTAAGAACGTGAATGGCCTGGAGGGCACTGCGCTCAGGGAGGTCAGACGGGAAGACAGACCCTGCGGATCTCACTCCCTGTGATGTGGACCCTGAAGACAAAACAAACTCAGAGAAAAGGGGGACAATCGAACGGCATCTCCACTCACTGGCCCAGCCCAGGGCCCCCCTGGGGAGAAGCCTGGGGGCGGCCCTTGCAGCCTGCCCAGCCTTCCTGGGGGGCCGGCACCCCCAGGGCAGGTAGCGCTGACCCCGCCCCCACGCGGAGCCCAGGTGCCGGGTCTCAGGTGGTTCACGGGCCACGTGAGTGTGTGAGGACGTGCTGCTCTGCTGTCCACCCTGAAGGGACGTCCTGTGTCAGGCCGGGTCCCCACTGACCGGCGGGACCCAAATCTGACGTCATGACATTTCCCTCCGCTTTCTCCTCTTTTTTTTCACAAAGTGGAACGACTGACAAAACGTGGCCCAGTCCACACCGTGAGTGTCACTCAGCGCCAGGCGCTCTCACGGGTCCCAAATAGGGAGGCTCTGGAGGACACGCTCCTGAAGGGAAGGAGCCAGACACGCAGGCCACAGGCCCCCGCCCCGTGTCTGCGACGTGTCCGGAATGGGAAGATCTGTCACCCCAAGCAAATCAGGGCCTGCTGGGGCCGCAGGGGGACAGGAGAGCTGCTGTTTAATGGGCGGATGTGAATGTTTCGGGGCAACACAGAGGTGGCTGCTAAGAGCCCCTGAACTGCTCACCGGAGCCCAGCCGGGTGTGGCTCAGCCGTTGCTCAGCGGTCGAGCGTGGCCCTCTGAACCAGGAGGTCATGGTTCCGTTCCTGGTTTCAGGTTCAAACCTGGTGAGGGGCGTGCGGAAGGCAGCTGATCCATGATTCTCTCTCATCATTGATGTTGCTATCTCTCCCCCGCGCCCTTCCTCTCTGAAATCAATAAAAATATATTAAAATAATAAATAACTTGTTCACCATAAGATGGTGAGTTTTCTGACGTGGTTCTCGTCTCCGGAACATACACGTTGGGCCCGACAGGAACCCTCTTACCTGGGCCGGGCCAGCCGCACAGGGTGTCTGCCGTGGCGTTGCACGTCTGCAGGACGACCTTCCCCTCGGGACACCTGGGGGGGAGACGCCACACTGTTCCTCCCTCCACGTCTCCCAGGGCCCCAGGCCCAGGGGCGCTGTCAGCAGCAGAAGGTGGGCTCCGGGGCGGGCTCCTGCGGAGAGCTCCCTGACCGCCGTGGGAGCACCGTGTGCCTGAGCTGAGGCCCACGAGGGCCCAGGGCACCCACAGCCCAGCGCTCACCCCAGAACCAGCCTCTCAGAGGTCATGGCCCTCATCCCACGGGGGAGCCACGGAGGTCCCTCCAGGGAACCGGCTCGGCCCCGTGTGCAGGCCTGGGAGCGGGGAGCGGGGGTCTGTCCTGTGTGTGAGTGGCTCGGCCCTCAGGTGTCCTTCCTCGTGGTCGCAAAGTTAGGGGCCGGTCATTGTTTGTCCCATGTTCCGAGGTCACAGGGAGGCGTGTTTAGACCCAGGACCAATGCTCGCTTACGCAGGCCTCACGTGCTCACAGCTCTCCGCACACCTGAGGGGGGACCCCGGAGGGACCTCTACGTCACCGGCCCCTCGCCTTCCACCATCGCCGGTTCCCCAGCTTCTGCCTGAGTGCGGGAGTCTGGTTCTGAGACCCCACACTCCAGGGTCACAGCGTGAAACACCTGCAGCCCAGCCGGCGGGCTCAGTGGCTGAGCATCACCCCCTGAACCAGGAGGTCACCGTGGAGTCCCCGTCGGGGCACAGGCCTGGGCTGCGGGCTCCATCCCCGGTGGGGGGCGTGCAGGAGGCAGCCAGTCCATGATCCTCTCATCATTGCCGTTTCTCTCCCTCCCTCTCCCCTCCTCTCTGACATCAATACAAATCCATTTCTGTTAAAAAGGGAGCTATTTTTCCAGGGGTTTCACTGCTGTCATGTCTCCCCGAAGGTCCCCCATCGAGCCCACCCGGGACCTCAGGATAAAGCTTCTTAGGAAATCTGTGCGTGTGACGGCGCTAAAGGGAGGCCATCGCGGGGGAGCCGGGCCTCCCATGACCACGTCCTCCTAAGGGGAGCCTGTTCGCAGGGAGCGGCCCAGAGACGCAGACAGGAGGCGGTGCGATGGCGGACAGACAGAGGCCGCAGCGGCAGGTCTAGGAGGAGCGCCAGGGGTGCCGCCACCCAGAGCGCAGGAGGCAGGAGGGTCCTCCCAGAGCCCGCGGGGCCGGCCCTGCCCACACCTGGTTCCTGGCTCCCGGGCTGTGGGCCTGGAGAGAATTATTCCTGAGGTTTGTGAAGCCGCCAGGACCGGCGCCTGTGACAGAACCAGGGCCCTGCTACGGGGACGGCCTTGCAGCTGGGACAGGGCGCAGGGCCCACGGCTCCTCCTCTGCCCGGAGCCGCCTCCTCTGGAATCGTCTATGGCTCCCACCTTCCTCCCTCCTCAGGCCTCTGCGTCTCCCACAGCCCCGCCCTCCAGCCCTCGGGGACCCCGGCAGGTTCTGTGCTTTGGCTTCTGTGCCGGCTCCACGGGGGCTTTGGTGGGACGAGCGGGTGTGGCTCTGGGTGGACGGAGCCCTGGCCCCAGGGCGGCCCCCGGTGGGAACAGCCAGGCCACCAGTTGGATTTCATCTGCAGGCGCCTCCACGTGGCAGGTGCTACCAGGTCACAGATGGAGAACCGAGGGGCCGCAGCAGAACCCGAGGCAGACACGCCACGGGGGGTGGGGGGAGTGTGCGGGGGGACCCAGGCTGCTTGGCTGCCCGCGTCCCGAGGCGGTACCTGGTGCAGGGGTTGCAGCCCTCAAGGCAATGCTCAGAGTCACAGTAGAACTCCCCGGTCTTGCACTGGCACTTCCTGTCCTGTTTCGGGGTGCAGTCACTCACCATCTCCTGGTCTGCAGGGGGAGGGGAGGCTGGGTCAGACACCAGGGCTGGGACTCTGTGCCACCCATACCGGCCCCTCTGGCTCCCGAGTCACAGGCACCAAATCCACAATCTCCCTCCCTCACACTTACAGACGACGAGGTGACGACTAGACTCTATTACCAGCATTGGGGTGCCTATGGACGGGCCAGAGGGGGACCCTGAAACCTGGGATGTCTGTGGAGGGGCCAGAGGGGGGCCCTGAAACCTGGGGTGTCTGTGGACAGGCCAGATGGGGCCCTGAAACCTGGGGTGTCTGTGGAGGGGCCAGAGGGGGGCCCTGAAGCCTGGGGTGTCTGTGGAGGGGCCAGAGGGGGACCCTGAAACCTGGGGTGTCTGTGGAGGGGCAGCAGGTGCCCTTGCGATGTGGGCTGGGAGGACAAAGCCAGCTCTGTCCCCAGAGATACCCCCAAATTATCCCTTTCATTGTGTTTGCCCCCAAAGGGCAGGTCAACATCCGAAGTGTGGGGGTGCAAGAGGCAGCTGTGAGTGACACAGCAGACAGCGAATGGGGCCGCAGAGAGCCCCAGGCCCCACCTGCTGGTGGTCAGCTCAGCGGTCACCCCCACAGCCCACCCGATGGCCGCCAAGGCTGGGCCCTGAAGCCTCGCGGGGTGCACGGCTCCATCGAGGGGGCGGGCCCTCAGACCCCCTCTGCCCAGCGTCTGAACTGAGATGGGAATAAGGTGGGGCCACAGCCCAGCCCTAGACCAAGCCCGTCACCCACTCGCCTGCGGCCCCGACCCCACCTGTCCCTTTGCCCGCCTTCTCTGCCAGTGGACATGGGTGGCTCCTGGTGGTGCCACTGCACACCGGCCGGGCTCTGACACACGGGGGAGAGCAGGCCCCGGTCCAGATGGAGGCGGGCGGTGGGGAGTGGGGTCGGCCCGTGGGAACGTCACCCCCTACACCCAGTGTTTCCTCCGAGGCTGGCACTGACCCCACATCTCCCGTCGGGCCAGGATCCCCACTGCCCTGCCCCCCACGTGCGGCACCGGCTCTGGCGGACGTAGGACGGTCCACCTCTTCACTCTCAGAGATCCTTTCTTTTTCTTTAATTATATTTTGATTGATTTTATTTATTCATTAATTTAAGCTTCACCTGAGGATATTTTTCCCTATTGATATAGTTTTTAAAATCTTTAAATTTAGACCTTTGGAAAATGCTTTTTAAAATGTTTTAAAATATATATACATTCTTATTGATATCAGAGAGGAAGGGAGAGGGAGAGAGAGGGAGAAACATCAATGACAGAGAATCATTGATCGGCTGCCTCCTGCACGCACCCTACCGGGGATTCGAGACCTGGGCATCTGCCCCGACCGGGAATGGAACCCTGACCTCCTGGTTGGCGGGTTGATGCTCAACCACTGAGCCAAGCCGGCCGGGCCCCACTGATGTTTTTAGAGAGAGTGGAGGGAAGGGGAGAGACAGAGAGAGAAACATGGATGTGGGAGAGAGACAGACAGTGATGAGAGCCTCCCTCCCACAACCCAACTGCGGCCAGGGCCTGAGCCCGCCATGAGGGGTGTGCAGCCTGCACCCCTCAGCCCCCGGCTGACCCGTACCCACTGAGCCAAACCAACCAGGGTGTTCTCACTGATCTTCTGAGAGAAGGGAGAGGGAGGGGGGAGAGGAAAGTGGATGATAGAGAAACACTGACCGGCTGGCTCCTCCCGCTCTCGACGGGGGATTGTACCAGCGACCTAGGCACGTGCCCTGACCCTGCTCCACGGGGCGACGCCCAAGCACAGAGCCCCGCACACCAAGGACCTCAGGCTCCTCGTAGGCACGCCCACCACTGAGGCCTCGTCCTCTCTGCCACGCCTGCGTCTCTCTCCACTGCAGCTTATTTTACTATTATAATTACTATTATTGCTATGATTTTAGCTCACTTACACCTTCCTAGCGCTGAGGGCCAGGCCCCTGTGTGTCCTGGGAGCGAGGCTGTGCGTTGCCGCGCCCTCACTTTCCATCGCGGCTTCGCTTCCCCTGCTCGGCAACCACGCGTGCCCCGTCACCACTGCCTTTGGGGCGACTCCCCCAGGCAGGTCCCGGGGAGGCTGCTTTACACGACACAGACCCCCCGCCCGACGGCGCCCACTTACCTTCCCGGCACTGCGTGCACGGCGAGCAGGACTGTGCCCTGTTGGGATGGGCCAGGAAGGAGTCAGGTGGGCACGGACAGCACCTTACGGCCTGGCCCATGGTGCAGTCCGCGCTGACGTAGTGGCCTGCGGCAGGGGTGGCACAGAGGTGAGGTGGGGCCCGGCACCCACCCGTCCTGGTCCCCGAGGCCAGGCCCCTGCACAGCACCAACCCTCGCCTCTGTCTCCTTGGAATGTTCTGGACTGAGCCAAGGCTCCATGTGTCCCAGGAACTGAGGACCTGCGTCCCCCTTGGCCTTTACGGATCCCCCGCAGCTCGGCTCAGAGGGGGTGGGTGTGCACACTGGGGCCCGCCGACCCCGCCTCTACCCCGCGCGGACGCACCAGGCCGCTCAGCAGCTCCCAGGCCACTCACTAGGGCAGCCGGAAAGCGAGCAAGAAGCCCGGCCACGCCCCAGGAGCCGCCTGGCCCCGCGCCCCCGCGAAGGCTGTCCTGGGGCAGAGCCACACGTCCCTGCCGCCGCCCAGTGTGGGCAGCTGTGTCCCCGTCATTCCTGCGGGTGCGCACAGATGTGCGGACGGGGGATGGTGCCGGTGTGCATGGAGCCTGTGCCGGGGGAGGGCAGGTGCGTGGTCCGGGCCTGGGGAGGGGGTTCAGTCCCTGAGCTGGTGCCCCAGGAAGCTCCTGGCTGACAGGAGGCGTGTGGGGTGGGGTGGGGTGAGTCGGGGTAGAGTGTGATGGGAGCAGGTGTGTGGTCGGCCCCTACAAAGAGGGGACCCCTGAAGGCAGGCTCACTGATGTGTGCGCCCCTGTCTGTGAGCAGGAGGGGTGCAGGCGTGGGGGCTGCAGGGTGACCAGGCTCCACAGGGGCCAGGGTTCTGGCGGGGACTGGCCAGGAGGGGGCGGTTGGAGGGCGGGCAGAGCAGGCCCTGGAAGCTGGGGCTCCCGGCTGCTCTGGGGGCTGGTTCGGAGCCCCCTCCTGAGAGTGAACGAGCCTGGGGGTCCCCATCACCGCCCTGAGGGGACGGGCTCCTGACAGGGGTTCCTGGGGAGCATGGAGCCTGGGCACGCCCCCCACTTCCGTCTGAGTAAGCACAGAGTCCCTCTGTCAGGAGAGAGCCCCAGGCGTGGGGGAGGTAGGGGGGTGAGCATACAGTGCCAGGGTACCAGCTGGGAGAGGCCCGCCCACCAGGCTCCCCCACCCCCCAGGGCCCCAGGCGCCTGCAGCTCTGCGCCAGGGCTGAGCCCGCGGGGTCAGGTGAGCCGAAGGCGAAGGCTGGGGAAGACGGGGACGCTCACTCACCGGCCTCACAGAGGTCGCTGGAGGGGCTCCCGGCTGCATTCTGGTTGGGGCCACCCAGTTCCGAGCTGGCTGCCAGGGCCGCCTGCAATCAGCCAGGGAGACGGGCTTAGCCAGAGCGGCCTCCGGCCCGGCCAGCGTCGCTCAGTGGCTCAGCGTCCAACTATGAACCAGGAGGTCACGGCTCGATTCCCGGTCACAGCACAGGCCCGGGTTGTGGGCTCCATCCCTGGGTTGCAGGCTCCATCCCCAATGGGGTCGTGTAGGAAGCAGCCAATCCGATTCTCTCTCATCATTGATGTTTCTCTCTCCCTTCCTCTCTGAGCTCAATAAAAACTTATTAGAAGAAAAGGAAGCCCATTGCATCCCAGTGCCTGGCGTGGGCCTTTCGTGCCGACCTCTGCTCACCAGGAGGCCTGCTATTTGCTACGGGAATCTCACATCCTCTTTCCCGCGCCTTCCCTGCCTGAGTCACACGGAGCTCTGATCCCGCTCAGAACCGCGTCCTCCCTGCTGGCGGGGCTGGCTCCTGGCACCTGCACAACCCGGACGATGCGTCGGGGCGGCCTGGGGCAGGGCAGCGCCTCTGGAATGACCGTTTCCTCTCCAGGGGGCGCTGGGAGCTGAGCTGCTGGACTGGGGAGCGACCAGCTTTTGGAAATCTTGTGTTACTGCGTCTTCTCTGTGGGAGGGTTTGGGCTTTTAAAATTGCATTAAAGCCCTGGCCTGTTTGGCTCAGTGGATAGAGCATGAGCCTGCGGACCAAAGGGTCCTGGGTTCGATTCTGGACAAGGGCACGCAGGAGGCAACCAATAGACGTGTTTCTCTCATATCCATGTTTCTCTCTATCTTTCCCTCTCTCTCCCACTCTCCCTAAAAATCAGTGGAAAACATCCTTGGGTGAGGATTAATTACAAAAAAAAAGGCGTTATAGTTTCAGATCAGCTCCCTCTGAAACCTTACCGGTACCAAAAACAGCCATAGCCCATTCTCTTTCGAGCGCTTTAAAAAATGTCCGTTTCAGCGCAGTCATCTCACTGTAAGTCATGCGAGGCCAGATGTGTATGTGCAAATGGAATGTTAAATTCGCCTCCCTCCAAAGCAGACACGGCGAAAGGCAACGATGTCCTAAACCCCAGGACAGAGCCCCTCACCCAGGCACAGGCCCCGAGGCCACTGTCAGCCAAGGTGCAGGTTTCATGCAACTGTTCCCAGCTCGAGGGCTTAGAGCCCGACACAGACAAACAGGAAGAAGCTTGTGGTTTCTATCGATTTTAAAAGACTCTGGACCCTGCTCTCACGCTTTGGTGAGGAACCTCTGGGAGCCAGCTCCCTGGGGGCCGGCCGCGAGCGGAGGGCACTTTTGGGGGTGAGGGCTGCACCCACTCTCCTGCGGGGATGGTTTCCCGCACCGTGAACACATGTCAAAATGCCAAACTGCACACGTTAAACCTGGGGCGCTGGTTGTGTGCCAACTACACACACCTCCATATGCTGCTACACCCCCGCCTCCAGCTAAAAAGGAACTACAGTGGCCTCTCGCCCCACCGCCCCCGGGACCGCAGTGAGCTGCGGGCCTGGGTCAGGGGAAGGTGGGTCTGGCCGTGCCCTCCCCGCCTCTGGGGTCCCATCAGTCACCGGGGAGCCTGGGGCAGGGGAGGCCGAGGCCAGGGACTGAGCACAGCTCCGTGCACTCACGCTGGCGGAGGGCTGCCGGGTGTGCCCGGCCTGGGGGAGGGGGGGCGCTCCCCCCAGAGCTGCACGGGGCCCGGGGAACGCCCTAGGGGTGTGCGACTCCCAAAGTCAGACTCGGTCCCGCCCCGCCTCAGGCCCCCTGCCCGCTAGGGGGGGGCCTTCCCTCCCCAGAGCCCCGCCGCGCACCCACCTGTGTCCCCAGGAAAAGGAGCAGTGGCCTCAGCCGCAAAGGAAACGGAACAGAAGGCCAGGGCGTCATGCTCCTCGGTGGGCTGCCCGCCGGGGCTGGGGAGGGCGGCCGGACCGTGGGCAGGGCGTGTCCTGCTGTGACAGACAAACCGGAGAAGGACAAGCCACGCTTCGGGAGATGGCGTTACATTCGCTACTGGGCGCGGGCCCAGAGGAAAACGTCTCTCAAATTCGGGGTGAAGTCACACAGGAAGCTTCCTGTATTTATACTCTTACCCTCTTGGTCTCCCCCATATGGGGTTTTTCCGGTTCCCTTTGCAAGTTTTTAAAGGGCCCCTATGTGCTGGCGCTTTGAGACCTCGACCAAAGGCTTGGCCTGGTGCCAGCACGGATAACTTCGTCTGGGGAAGGTTTAATGGCCTCTCTGAAACGGGAGTAGTCTTATTTCCTTAGTATTTAAGCCACAAATAGTAGGGTTATTATTTCAAACAGCAGTTTTTATAGAAGATGGATGCTTCACTACCAGCCCCAGCGCCTCGGGTCCCACGGGGAGGGCGGGGCAGGGACACGGCGCGGCCCACGGGGGGCCCTGCTAGGGGGGGTGAGAGGGCGACAGGCAGGGGGCAGAGAGGAGGCCTGGCGGGGGGAGCAGCCTGACTGCCCCCCTCGCTGCTGAGGGCGCCCCAGCAGGGCCCTGGGTGCTGACCTGGCGCCTGGGCCCTGGGCTGCCCCCCCAACAGGCCTCGGGGGGGGGCTCTCCCGCTGTGGGGTGCACAGAGCCCCGACCTGCTCACACTGGGCCAAGTCCTTCCGGGGGTCCCAGGGGCTGTGGCTGCGGGGCCAGGGGGTGTCCATGGGCGGGGGCTGTGCTCCTCAGGGGGAGGGGACGCCATCCAGCCAGAGCCCCCCCCCCCCCCGAGCGTCCTGGAGGGGCGTCCCCAGGACACGCTGGGTGCTGGGCAGAGCGCCAGGCTGCAGGGAGGCGAGGCCGCTCCGAGGGCGGGAGACGCGGGCAGAGCCGGTCCAGGGGACAGGGAACAAGGCAGACAGGGAACCCGCGGTTCGCAGCTGGAAAGACTAGATGCCCAGCGGCTGCAGCCACCTACTCAGCCCCAGCGTCCCTCAGCCAGGGCACTTAAGAGCGAATGGTCGGCCCTTCTCCTCCCCAACCAGAGGGCAGAGCGCAAACCGCCCCCCTCAGGGCCCAGCAGACCCAGTTACAGCGGACCCAGTTACAGCGGACCCAGTTACAGCGGACCCAGTTACAGCGGACCCAGTTACAGCGGACCCAGTTACAGCGGACCCAGTTACAGCGGAACCGCATGCTGCACCGTCTCCCATCTGAACAATTCGCTTCTCCACCGGAAAACCCAAGTCTCCCCGCGAAAACGAGAGAGAACGGGCCGCGGAGTCAGCTTCCCTGTTACCGCCGCAGGGGATTGTCCAGTGAACATTTTGGGTGTTTTTTTGCCTTTCTTGCTGCTTATCATTATTGCTCAATTTTCATTTCTTTACTGTATGTTTCCCTTCCTTTTTGTTAAATTGTCGCATTCTATGCCCTTTTTGTTTTTAAAGCGTTTATTACAGATTAAACAGTAAAGCGACGCGGGCTGTATATAAGGAAGGTCGGAGCAGGGCGTCCCCTGGGGGCTGCAGGGCGAATTCAATGCACGACCTTCTGCTGGGAAAGCATGATTCCCGGTACAGGCCTTAGGTTGGTCTCTTCCCCCCCCCCCCCCCGACCACCCCCTTCCTCTGAGAGGCCACGGTCTGGTCCCTGCTCCCATGGCTCGGGATCTACTTGTTCATCAGTGTATTTTGTTCGTTAGAGTCCCCGTGGGTGAGATCACGTGATGCTTGTCCTTCTCTGACCGGCTCCGTGCGCTCAGCAGAATCCGCTCCAGGTCCCTCCGTCTGTCGCGAAGGGTCAGAGACCCTCCTTCCGAACGGCTGCGTGTTCTCCAGGCGGAACGTGCCCCGGCTTTTCCCACGCGACGGCTGGGGGCACGTGCTCTGAACATAGGGCTGCGCACATTCTCTCTCACTGGAGTTTCAGGTATCGAAGGGTGTATTAGGTCACACAGCCTTTGGACAGAAGAACATCTTAGGAGGCACTTAAAAAAGGTCCCTGACCGCCCTAACCAGTTTGGCTCAGTGGATAGAGCGTCGGCCTGTGGACTGAAAGGTCCCAGGTTCGGTTCCGGTCAAGGGCATGTATCTTGGTTTCGGGCACATCCCCAGTAGGGGGTGTGCAGGAGGCAGCTGATCGATGTTTCTCTCTCATCAATGTTTCTAACTCTCTATCCCTCTCCCTTCCTCTCTGTAAAAGTTAATAAAATATATTTAAAAAAAAAAAAAAAAGGTCCCTGACCCAGGACGGTTTGGCTCAGAGGATAGAGCGTCAGCCTGTGGCCTGAAGGGTCCCAGGTTCAATTCTGTTCAAGGGCACATGCCCGGGTTGTGGGCTCGGTCCCCAGTAGGGGGTGTGCAGGAGGCAGCTGGTCAGTGATTCTCTCTCATCATCTCTCATCATGGATGTTTCTATCTGTCTCTCCCTCTCCCCTGCTCTCTGAAATCAATAAAAAAACAAAACAAAACCACGTCTCTGAGCCCTGGCCAGTGTGGCTCCGTGGGTAGAGCGCCAGCCTGCACACCAAGGGTCTCGGGTTTGATTCCTGTTCAAGGCTCGTGCCTTGTTGCAGGTTCACTCTCTGGTCCCAGTTGGGACACATGCAGGTGGCAGCCCATCCATGTTTCTCCCTCCCCCTCCCCCTCCCTCTCCCTCTCGCCAAAAATCTATCCTTAGGTGAAGATTAACCAAAAAAAGGACAAAGAAAGGCCTCCTCCAGCTGAAGAAATGACAGCTCAGAGTGGCCACTGGGTGCCTGTCTTCCACTTGCTCATACATGTCACCCTGTTCATGCCACGCCCGGCTCCTGGCCAAGGGGGCATCCCAGGACTCAGAGACCAAGGAGCCGGGGAGGGGGGTGGGGGCAGAGAGACAACCCTCCAGCCCGCGGGGTGCAGCTCCTGGGAAGAGCCTGGGGGACCGGGCCCACCCAGCACCCTCAGCGGGTCCCGCCCACCAGCTCAGGGCCCGTGGGACCCAGGCAGTGACGCTCCTGCCTGCCCTGACCCCCTCCCTCCCGGGAAAGCTTTACAGGGACTCTCCTCAGAGCAGGAGGCGCTCGGCCCATCTGGGGATCGCGGAAGCGCCAAAGGGATGCTGTGACCTCAGACACCTGCCAAGGTCACGGCAGGGCCAGACCTCCCCTTGTGTGGGGCCCGCCCAAATGCCAACACAGGAGATTTTTCTTTTTAAAAATATATTTTACTGATTTTTCACAGAGAGGAAGGGAGAGGGATAGAGAGTTGGAAACATCGATGAGAGAGAAACATCGATCAGCTGCCCCCTGCACACCCCCTACTGGGAATGTGCCCGAAACCAATGTACATGCCCCTGACCGGAATCGAACCTGGGACCCTTCAGTCCGCAGGCCGACGCTCTATCCACTGAGCCGAACCAGTTAGAGCCTGAGGTAAGAGATTTTTAAAAATATATATTTTTATTGATTTCAGAGAGGAAGGGAGAGGGAGAGAGAGGCATCAGTGATCAGAGAGAATCACTGATCAGCGGCTCCTGCACCGCCCCCACTGGGGATGTGCCCGCACCCCGGGCCTGTGCCCTCGGCCGGAATCTAACCTGGGACCCCTCAGTCCGCAGGTGATGCTCTGTCCACTGAGCGGCACTGGCCAGGGCCGACCTGAGAGGTTTCCTCTGGCCAATAGGTCTGGGAGCGTCCGTGGTGTGGAGGCCGCCAGGAGCGCGAACGGCTGCTCCCTCCCAGCGGGTCCTTCCGGCCGAGCAGCATCGCACCACCACGCGGGGCCACGGGATCCGGGCTTCCGTGGTCTCACATCTCGAAGCCACTTCCTTCCAGCCCCACTGACGTCATAGGTTCTTCCCGTCCCGTCCGGGACCTCATGTCCGCGTTCACAATCAGCCTCTTGGTGGTGGAAAAGAGGAAACCAGAACGAAGACGTGTGGCCAGGACCCGGCGTGGCTCCTGAACTGCCTGCAGCTCATTCGTCCTGGAGCCCACGGCCCTGGAGAAGGGACCCAGGATCCGGGGAGTCGGCAGCCCTGGGGGCGGGGGGATGGGTGTGCGGAGGTTGGCTCTGTGCTCGCTCTCCGGCTCCCAGAGGCGGTGGGGCCGTAGGACGGACGAGGCTGCAGCCAGGGGAGCCTGGATGGGATGAAGGCCTGGGCGAGTTCTGCAGCCTTGTGGGCTCGGGCTGCCTGAACTTTGACCTGTGAAGTGGGGAGACCTCCCAGAGCTGCCTGAGAGGATGGGGTTCCAGAAAGCACCTGGCGGCCTGGAAGGTGTGGCTCAGTGGTTCAGCGTCGATCTAGGAACCGGGAGGTGAGGGTCCTATTCCCCGTAGAGGCACGTGGCTGGGTTTCAGGCTCGATCCCCAGTGTAGGGCATGCAGGAGGGAGCCGATCCATGATTCTCTCTCATCATTGATGCTTCTCTCTCCCTCTCCCTTCCTCTCTGAAACCAATACAAATATATGTTTAAGAAGAAGTCCTTACTCTTAGACCAGTCATAGCAGCCCACAGCCAGGAGGGCCCTGCCGGCCGAGGTGACAGAGCATCCCTCCCAGCCACGCGTGTTTCCTCAGAAAGGCGCGAGCCGCTCACACCAAGCACCGCGACCTTCCTTTAGGACCAAAACTTATCCTTGAAGAAGCCCATTTCCCCAAGGTCATCGGAGAAGGTGAGCGAGTGCTGAGGCCACAGAACGTCCCGCCTTCAGCCCGGACGTCACCGCGGAGCAAGAAGCCGGAGGACTCACCGTCAGGGCAGGGCGTGTCCGTCACAAAATCCTCATTTATGATCCTGAGGAGGGAAGAGGGCGTGGTCCCAGGACAGCCTGGCGGCCTCGTGGGGGCGCGGTGGTGGGGGCAGCGGAGGTGTCAGCCCTGGCAACGGGGCCCCGCCTGCCGTGGCTCCCAGGGGCGGCAACCGGCGGGCACACTCGCTGAGTCTGTGCCCCTCGGGGTCACTGTCCCCGTGGACAACAGGTTGGGGGGGGGACTGCAATGGGTTGAGTCCTGTCCCCAAAGACATTGGGTCTGGACCCCGAGCGGTGGACGCGGCCGGATGTGGAGAGGAGGCCGCAGGTGGAGGAGTGAATGCGAGGCCCCGGTCCAGCAGGACAGGTCCCGCTGATGGACAGACACGCTGGCAGGGCGGACGCAGCGTGAACTGCAGGGCGGAGCGGGGACTTCCACACGCCCAGGAAGCCCACAGATCGCCCGACACCACGGGCAGCAGGAGGCCAAGGCCCCTCACAGCCCCGGGGGGACCGGCCCACGGACGGACGCCGTGACCTCAGCCATGGCCTCCAGGGCCGGGAGACAGTCTGTGGTTCCAGCGACTGGTCCGTGGCCTGGGGGGGGCGGCCCGGGAGGCGCAGACAAGCACTGACAAGAGCCCTAACGGAGCGCACTCAGCAGGTGCTCAGCAAGCGAGCCTCACTGCCCCCCATTGGCCCCCACCCCGGCCCCGGCCCTCACCTGCTCGATGACGGAGGCCGGCGTCCGCCTCAGCCTGGGCCTGGGCCCCCGGGGCAGCGGCAGCAGGAGTCGGGGGCGCGGGCTCTGGGGCTACCCGGCCGCCTCCCGTCACCTCCACCTGCAGCTCCGCTCCTGCCCCGGGGTCGGGGTCAGGGTCAGGGTCGAGGTCGGTATCAGGGTCGGTGTTAGGGTCGGGGTCGGGGTCAGGGTCGAGGTCGGTATCAGGGTCGGGGTCGGTATCAGGGTTGGGGTCGGGGTCAGAGTCGGGGTCGGCTAAGGGTCGCGGGCGGGTCAGGGCACCAGGCATCGGGGTGTCAGCCTTCTCCGGCAACAGCGGTGTTATCTCCGTGCCAGGGACCGGGGGGCCCCTCACAGGGTCCGTGGGTCGCAGTATCGCCTAAAGGACAAAACCAATCCTGTGGTGACAGGAGCCGCAGCACAGCCCCCCAATACCCGCAAGCTTCTCTGGCGTAGGGGTGAATGGGGAAAGGCCGCAGTGCCTGAGGGTCAGCCTGGGCTGTGCGTTGAGAGAAAAACACTTCATGGGCTCAGGTTCCAGCTCTGGCCCAAGGCAAGGGTGGCGCCCGGCCAGTGTGGCTCAGTGGTTGAGCGTCAACTTATGAACCAGGAGGTCAGGTTGGATTCCAGGTCAGGGCACAGGCCCGGGTTTCGGGCTCCATCCCCAGTGGGGGACGGGCAGGAGGCAGCCGGTCCATGATTCTCTGTCATCACCGATGCTTCCACCTTTTTTTGTTTTAATTTTTAAGCCTCACCCGAGGATATGTTTCCACTGATTTTCAGAGAGAGTGGAAGAGAGAGGGAGAGACAGAGAGACACTGATGTGAGAGAAGCACATGGAATAGTTGCCTCCTGCACGAGCCCTGATCAGGGCCCAGATGGGGAGGAGCCTGTAGCCCAGGTACCTGCCCTTGACCAGCATCGAACCCGGGACCCTTCAGACTGCAGGCCGACGCTCTATCCCCTGAGCAGCACCGGCCAGGACATCATCGATGCTTCTCTCTCTCTCTCTCTCTCTCTCTCTCTCTCTCTCTCTCTCTCTCTCTCTCTCTCTGAAATCAGTAAGAACATTATTTCTTAAAAGACAGGGCTGAATGGTGACCCAGAAAGACGTGTCCCCGTCCTACCCCCACCTGTGAAAGGGCCTCATTTGGAAATGGGGTCTTTGCGGCAGAGGCCACACCGGGTGAGAGCGCGCCCCAAACCCAGTGACGGCCGAGTGTCCCTGTGAGGACTGCTCAGAGCGACGCCTGGAGGCGGCCAGGTGAGTGCGGAGGCCGAGGAGCGCCCTGGACGGCGGCACCCCCAGGGGAGGCGGGCAGGGGCAGAGGACCCCCACCCCCAGGGCCTCCCAGGGAGCCCACCCCCCCGGCCCCTGTGTTGTGGGCTTCTGGGCCCCGGGTCGGGGACAGTAAGTTGCGGTTTTTAAGCCCCGGGAAACCCGTACAAAGCCCTTGGCCCCTGTGCCTCCGATCCCACACGGGCCCGACCAGGGGAGTGTGAGTCTCTTTCCAGCAGACATTCGGGGCTCGAGTAAAGGGGTGCAGACACCGCCCCGGAAGCTGAGCTGTGCATGCAGGCGGGGGCCCGGCGGCCTCCCCCACCCTGCTGTCGCCCCTGCCCTCCAGGCCCGAGGCCCCCACCGGGAACAGCCCAGGGAGACACTTACATGGCTGCCTGGCTCCCCCGACGTCGCTGAAAATCAGACAGAAGAAAAGCAAGTGAAGATACAGTCAGCGCGCTTGATGTCGTCGGTCACTGAGGGGCCACCTGTCCGGCCCTGACCCCACCAGAGGGCAGTGGAGCTGGACTCCCATCACCAGTGACACGATCGCGTCCTGGGCCACCACGCGGCACAGGCCTGCTCCTGGCGATGCCGGTGCGAGCAAACCGACCGCACAGCCAGCCGGGCAGACATGTGGCAGATAAAGGCACGCACCCCCGGATACTGGGGAATAGTGAACCACCACGGTGAAGGCCTGGGGGTGGGGGGCCGGGAGGAGGGCGCGGGGAGAAGTAGGAGAGATCCGAAATACGACCCACAGGGCACGGGGCTGCCCCTGACGTGAACCGCATGCGGACTTCGGAGGCCAAGGCCTGGGATTCACAGCAGGGAACGCACTTACCTGTCCTGAACCAGCACAGCCACTGGGGAAGCAGCACCCCTGTGGGCACACGGAGGGACGTGAGTGACCTCGGTGCACTCCCCTGCCCCCCGACCCTCCGACCCCCCTGCCCCCGACCCGGGCGGAGCAGCCCCGGGCTCTCCCTGCTTCCCCACCATGGCCCCCCCCACCATGTGCGGCGTCTGAGCCGCCGCGGGGCCGAGCTCTGCAGCCCTGCACCTGGTCAGCAGCACACAGCACACGGCACAGGGGCCCCGAGTGAGAAAGTGAGCCCAGCACGGCCAGTGTGGCTCAGGGGCTGAGCATCGACCTAGGAACCAGGTCATGGTTGGATTCCAGGTCAGGGCACAGGCCCCGGTTGCGGGCTCGATCCCCAGTGTGGGGCGAGCAGGTGGCAGCCGTTCCATGATTCTCCCTCATCATTGATGTCTCCCTCTCCCTCTCCCTCTCCCTTCCTCTCTGACATCAATAAAAATATATTAAAAATGAATAAGGAAGTGAGTGCAGCTGTATTTTAAATGGAAAACGCCGGTCAAGAGCCTGCCGGGACCCCGGCCGAGCTGCTGCTCTCCCGTCCGGAGCGCTCTCCTCCGCTTACCTTGTCTTCTCCACCAGGCGATGGCAAAGCCGATGGCGATGGTGATGGCGATGGCGATGGGGATGCCGATGACAATGGCAACCACAGGCACAGCCAAGGCGCTGTCAGCCAGGGAACCGGCTGGGGGTCCTGGGGGCACAGAGCGCGGTAGCGGGTAAGCACGTCCCTCGCGGAAGGACTCGCTGCCCGCAGGGTCCGCCCTCCCAGAAGAGGGCGAAGGTCCGCTGCCCCAGGGTGGGGCTCTGGGGTGAGCGTCACGGACTCCCGGCCCGGAAGGCAGCCCCCCCCCGAAGGTGGGGACAAGGGAAAGGACCCCATGGTGACTGCGGGAAGGCCCGGCCAGGTGGCCCGAGGGACGGGGCAGGGCCACCCAGGAGCCAGCTGCTGAGGCCGCTCGGGGGCTGGTCTCCCTGGTGACAGTACAGCACCCGGCGGAGCCTCCACAGGGACCCGGGCGAGGGCAGGCCCATCAGAGCTGTGGCCCCGGAGCCGGGCCAGCCCAGGAGGCGGAGGGACGGCAGTGACCCTGCCATGGGCCTGCTCCCCCGACAGCTTCCTGAAGTGCGTTTATTTCTCCTGAATCCTCGCCCGACGACATTTTCCCATTGATTTTTGTAGAGAGGGAGGGGAGGGAGGAGAGGGAGAGACAGAGAGGAGCGTGGATGTGACAGTGTGAGGGACACATCCATGGGCTGCCGCACCCCCCGACCGGGTTGGGGATGGAGCCTGCAACCCAGGGACGTGCCCTTGACTGGGACTCGAACCCACCAGCCGATGCTCTAACCACTGACCCAACACGCCCAGCGCTCTGACCACTTGTGTTTAACCACAGATTAGGTCCTAACTATGTTCTTTTTGTGGGGGGATGGGCATTAAATGTGCTTTAAGCCCTCCCCCCGCTCCCCTCCACTGCCTGGCTCAGTGGCTGAGGGTCGACCTATGAACCAGGAGGTCAGGGTTCGATTCCCGCTCAGGACACAGATCCGCAGTGTGGGGCGTGCAGGAGGCAGCCGGTCCATGATTCTCTCATCATAGATGTTTCTCTCCCTTCCTCTCTGACATCAATAGAAATATATTAGAAAAAAAATAACGTTTTCTTGGAACCCTGCCACGCACACCCACCACTTCCTGCCTGCAGCCTCTTTTCTACGGGGCAGAGCTGAGCACTGACCCCCGGCCCAGAGCCATACGGCGCCCTCTGTGCACAGGCTGGCTGCCGTGGAAGAGGCGGGGCCGCTTACCTGGCTCTGGCTGGGCTGCTGGGGCGCACTCGGTGTCCCTCGTGGCGGTGCAGGTCCGGAGGGTGGCACCGGGACACCTGAGAGGAAGGAGTGAAGGACCCCGAGCATCACTTCCCGGCCAGGCCGGCCCCCGCCCCGGAGGGCCCCGGGCTCCGGCAGCCTGTGCCAGGCTTTCCCAGACCATCGGCCCACCCGGCTCCGGGACCGCTGAGAGCCCAGCGAGGGAGTTCGGGGCCCCTGGGGTGCGGCTCTGAGGACGGCACCTGCGGGAGCCACAGCTGCACCGAGAGGGAGCAGCCCCGAGAGGAAGCCCATGGAGATGGGCGGGCAAAGGAGCCGAGAGAAGCAGAGCCCTGATCGAACCGGACCTGCAGGCGGCCCCTACTTTGGACTTGTCAGGTCCCAGGGCCACAGTTCACATGGTCTGAGTTGCACTGAAGGGCCCACAACGTGTCTCACAAAGTGCGCTGCTCTGCCCGCCGGGGGGCTCAGGGGAGGAGCATCAGCCTAGGAACCAGGAGGTCACGGTGCGAGTCCCAATCAGGACACAGGCCCGGGTTGTGGGTTCCATCCCCGGTGGGGGGCGTGCAGGAGGCACCCGGTCCATGATTCTCTCATCATTGCCGTTTCTCTCCCTCTCCCCTCCTCTCTGACATCAATACAAATCCATTTCTTTTAAAAAGGGAGCTATTTTTCCAGGGGTTTCACCGCTGTCATGTCTCCCAGAAGGTCCCCCCATCGAGCCCACCCGGGGCCTCAGGATGAAGCTTCTTGGGAAATCTGTGCGTGTGACGGCGCTAAAGGGAGGCCATCGCGGAGGAGCCGGGCCTCCCGTGACCACGTCCTCCTAAGGGGAGCCTGTTGGCAGGGAGCGGCCCAGAGACGCAGACAGGAGGTGGCGCGATGGCGGACAGACAGAGGCCGCAGTGGCAGGTCTAGGAGGAGCGCCAGGGGCGCCGCCACTCAGAGCCCAGGAGGCAGGAGGGTCCTCCCAGAGCCCGCGGGGCCGGCCCTGCCCACACCTGGCTCCTGGCTCCCGGGCTATGGCTCCCACCTTCCTCCCTCCTCGGGCCTCTGTGTCTCCCAAGCCCCGCCCTCCAGCCCTCGGGGACCCGGGCCGGTTCTGTGCTTTGGCTTCTGTGCCGGCTCCACGGGGCTTTGGTGGGATGAGTGGGTCGTGGCTCTGGGTGGACGGAGCCCTGGCCCCAGGCGGCCCCGGTGGGAACAGCCAGGCCACCAGTTGGATTTCATCTGCAGGCGCCTCCACGTGGCAGGTGCTACCAGGTCACAGATGGAGGACCGAGGGGCCGCGGCAGAACCCGAGACAGACACGCCAGGGGGGTGCGGGGACCCAGGCTGCTTGGCTGCCCGCGCCCGAGGCCGTACCTGGTGCAGCGGTAGCAGCTCTCCGGGCAGGACTCAGAGTCGCAGTAGAACTCCCCGGTCTTGCACTGGCACTTCCGGTCCTGTGTCGGGGTGCAGTCACTCACCATCTCCTGGTCTGTGGGGGGAGGGGAGGCTGGGTCAGACCAGGGCTGGGACTCTGCCAGTGGACATGGGCGGCTCCTGGTGGTGCCACCACACACCGGCCGGGCTCTGACACACAGGGGAGAGCGGGCCCCGGTCTAGACGGGGGCGGGCGGGCGGTGGGGAGTGGGGTCGGCCCGTGGGAACGTCACCCACTGCACCCAGTGTTTCCTCCGAGGCTGGCACTGACCCCACATCTCCCGTCGGGCCAGGATCCCCACTGCCCTGCCCCCCACGTGCGGCACCGGCTCTGGCGGACATAAGACGGTCCGCCTCTTCACTCTCAGAGCCCGTTCTTTTTCTTTAATTATATTTTGATGGATTTTATTTATTCATCTATTTATCTACTTATTTATTCGGTTACTCATCACCCCAGGGCATTTCTCCCATTGGTTTTTCTTTTGTGAATTATCTTCAAGTTTAGACCTTCAGAAAACACTTTTTTTTTTTTTAATTAAAAAAAAAATATTCTTGCCCTGGCTGGGTGGCTGGGTGGCTGGGTGGCTGGGTGGCTGGAGTGTCAGCCTGCGGTCTAAAGGGTCCCGGGTTCAAATCGGGCAAAGGGCACATGCCCGGGATTGCAGGCTCGATCCCCAGTTGGGGGTGTGCAGGAGGCAGCTGATCCATGATTCTCTCTCATCATGGATGTTCCTATCTCCCTCTCCCTTCCTCTCTGAAATCAATAAAAATATATTTAAAAAATTAAAAAAGGGGTTTCGGGGTCAAGGTCAAGACTCAAGGGGCCGGGACTCACCCTTGCGGCAGGTGGTGCACAGCAGGCAGGACCGCAGGCCGTTGGCGTGTTTCATGTACATCCCTGTGTCACACGCCTCGCACTCGCTCTGGGTGTGGGGGCTGCTGCACGGCTTGCGGACATAGTGGCCTGTGCAAGAGGCCGGGGTGCGGTCAGACCCACCAGGCACGCCCGGCGCCCCGCTGTGCGGCCTCCACGCCAGGCCCTGGGCTGCCCTCTCCGGGGAGAAAATGCAAATCCCTGTCCCTGGGCGTCAGCATTGGAGTAATCTCTGCCTGTTACCAGGTCGTGGAAATGATGAAGCAATCGCTCCCCGACAGCTGTGTGGTGGGGCACCCGGGACCCCGACCCCCACCCAGGACACACCTCTGAGGCCCCCAGGACGCGCCTCTAGAGGTCCAGGGTCAGTCAAGGCAGCAGGACCCCAGCCCAGTGCTCTGCCCCCCGGCCCAGGGCTCACCACCAGCTGCCTGGGCGCAGCCCAGCGTCCCGGTCGCCATGGGGTCCCCGGGCCCAGCCCGGAAGGCCCTGAGGTGGACACGTGCTCCGCTGGCCAGCACGGTGCCCGGCCGCTTCCTCCCTGCCACCCCGTCAGAGCCATGGCTCGACGTGCATTTGGGTCGGGCCCAGCGGACAGAACCCGCCCCCACTCACCTGCGGGGCAGCATTGGCAGCAGCGCCTCCCAGACCAGTACTCGTACTCGTACTCGCCGGGCCCGCACCTGCTGCCCGGGCTCAGGCTCGCCGCGCACGGCTCCAACAACAGGTTGCTGGAGGTGCTGAGGGTCAGCTGCAAAGACGGGAACCATGTTTCACCGCGTTCTTGCCCCCCATCCCTCCCACTGTCACCCCGGCAGGTCCACAGCCCGCCCCGTCCACGCGGAGCACCGCCTGGGCCGCCGCCCTGGAACGGGAGGGTCACGGTCACTGCTCTGCACGTAGCAGCCTCAGGAACAAGGCAGCCAGGGGCCCAGGAACCGGGGTCACGTGCGCATTGGCTCCACAGGCGGGGCCCACGGCCTCCTCGTCCCATCTCTGGGGGGCGCTGTTACCAGCACAGGTTTCACACGGGAGAAGAATTTAGTCACAACATCAACATCAGCACAGACAGAACCTGGGGTGGCCCAGCCTAACGCTGGACAGTGGCCGCCCACCCGGCCAGCAGCTCTAAGGAGCAGGCAGGGCGCCCGGAGGAGGTGGGGTGCGCCTGACCCGGCAGAAGCGGAGGCAGGCTGAGCCCGGGGCAGGGGCCGCCACTGGGCTGTCCCAGTGCTCCCTCTCAGCCTTGGAGCAGAGGGTCCCTCCCCAAGCTGCTCCCAAGCTGCTCCCAATCTGCTGGGGCCTGGGGTGCAGGTGCAGCTTGTTCTCCCGACTCTCAAACTCAGACTCCATTCTGCCCCCCCCCCCCCCCCCCGGCTTGCCCCTTCCCAGCGGTGGCAGCAGCGAGGACCTCCAGGCCAGGGCGCTCCAGCGGGCCAGCTGATGTGCTAGGTAGTGAGCCCGTGAGCAGTGCTTTTTATGGGGAGGGGAAGAGAAGGGAGGGAAGGGAGGAAGAAAAGAGAGAAAGACAGAAAGAGAGAAAGGGAGAAAGGGAGAAAGGGAAGGGAAAAGAAAAGAAAGGAAGCCCTAACCGGTGTGGCTCAGTGGATAGAGCATCGGCCTGTGGACTGAAAGGTCCCGGGTTCGATTCCGGTCAAGGGCATGTACCTTGGTTGTGGGCACATTCCCGGTGGGGAGTGTGCAGGAGGCAGCTGATCGGTGTTTCTCTCTATCCCTCTCCCTTCCTCTCCGTAAAGGTCAATAAAATATATATTTTTTAAAAAAAGAAAGGAAGGAAGAAAGTAAAAAAGGAAGAAAGTAAGGGGAAGGGAAGGAAAGGGAAAGGGAAGGGAGGAAGGGAGGATAGGAAGCAGTGAGACGGCGCCTGCGGGAACCCTTTCCGAGTGAGGCCGGGGGAGAAGCGGGGGTTCCTTCGCTCCTTTCTCGGCCCCTCCAGGGCTGGGGGTCCTACCCTCGCCCCCTCCGGCCCCTCCGGTCCTGCCCACCGGCCGCCGCCCAGGGGCCCCGCCAGGGGCGAGGGGGCGCGCGGCCCGGCGGCACCGCCGCGGGAAGGCCCCAATTGGGCCCAATCTCCAGCTGCCCCGAGAGCCGGCGTCCAGCCCCCGGCGTGTCTGGGGGGGAGGGCGACCCCCAGACCCAGAGCCCCCGCCCCCCCGTCAGCGCACCAGCCGGGCTGCAGGCCGATCGCGAGCGCGGGCGGCAGGGCACCTGTGGGTCCACGTCTCGCACCCGCGTCCCCGCTCCATGCGCCCCTTCCTCTCAGACGCAATAAAAACAGTTTTAAAAAGGCGGCTTTAGAGACACTCACCGAGGCCACCTGCCCGCCCCGCGGCCGCACGTCCACCCGGGCGCCCGCACCTCCCACCCCGCCACCACCCCCCTCACCCCGCGCCCGGCCAGCGGCCTCCGGTGCCGCGCCGCCCCGGCTGGTTTCCGCTCCCGGCCCCGTTAGACCCGGGGCTGCCTCCCGCCCCCACCCTCGGGCGGCCCTGCAGGCGGCGCAGCTCGCTCACCGGGACCCGCAGCAGCGGGAGCAGCAGGAGCAGCCACAGCGCGAGCCCCATGGCGCGGGCCGAGTGGGGGGCCGGGCCCGGCCTGTGGCTTATGTACCCCGGACGTGGGCGGGTCGGCAGCGACTCCCATCCTATGCGACTCCCCGATGACAAATCAAAAATCTGCAGAAAACAAACCAAAAAAAGGAAGTGGACTTTTCGTAACAAAACCAAGAATCTGCGAAGGCTTCCTTCCCGGCAGAGCGTCCGCGGGTCGGGGCGGGTACCCAGGCGGGGCGGGTACCGAGGCGGGGCGGGGACCCGGGCGGGGCGGGGACCCGGGCGGGGCGGGTACCGAGGCGGGGCGGGTACCGAGGCGGGGCGGGTACCGAGGCGGGCACCCACCCGGGCGGCGGCGACCCGGCCTGATCCGCTGCGGCGCCGCCTCTCTCCTCCCCCCTCCACTCTCCCTCTCCACATCCGCGGGTGGGGTCACAGCAAACGTTTATTCCTCTTTTATTTTATTTAAAACCCGAGAGGGTTCAACCGGTGTCTCCCCCATAAATTCAAGGAGGAGAGAGACGGAGACGGAGAGAGAAGAGACCGGCCCTTCTGGTCCCGCGAGTCCCGCTCGTTCAGCGGCAGAAGCCGCGGCGGCTCAGCACGTGTCGCACGTCCTCCGGGGCCACGGCGCGCGTGGGGGCGGCGCCCGGACAGCTGGAGCCAAAAAACCCCTTTCACTTTCTATTCCCCGCGGCGCCGTCACGCCACGCCCCCGCCGTCACTCCACGCCACGCCCAATAGTTCCGCCCCCACACCTCCGCCACGCCCACAGACACGCCCCCACATCTCCGCCACGCCCCACAGCCACGCCCCCACACCTCCGCCACGCCCCACCGCCACGCCCCACGGCCACGCCCCCACACCTCCGCCACGCCCCACCGCCACGCCCCCTGGCCAGCTCCCGCTGCTCCTGCTCCTCCTGCTCCACCGAGGCACCCCCACTCCCACCCCCCACCCCCCCACCCCGCGCCCCTCGCGCCCCTCCCGGTTCTGCGGGAACCAGAGCAGCACTCTCACATCAGCGCCGCTGAAGGCTGCCGAGTGATCCCTGTTGTGCTGCGCTGCATATCTGGCGCTTCGGCCAGGCGGGTCATGCTGTGCTGTCTGTTCCTAAAACTCACAGATAGGAAGGTGCTGACACCTGACCCGGCCCTGAGATAGGGTCTCATGGCCCCTTCCCAGCACGCAGGCCTGCTTTCTCCAAAGGCCGGAAGTCTCATTCCAAATTTGGGAGACGAAGGACTGGAAAAAGTATAAATAAAGCGAGTTTCCTCCATATTGGGGGGCTCAGAATTTGAAAGACACATTTTCTCTGGGCCTCCACAGAATTTAATAATAAAATGTAACTCCTGCAGTCGGCACTGCAGTTCAGCCTCTGCTTCGGCCGGGTGCTGTAACTGTAGTCGCTGGCCAGCTCAATAAATCCTCGCTTGCTGTTTAAGACCTAATTGGAGTCGGTGGTCTTATTCTGGCGAATGTCACTCCACAACACTGTTACAAAACTGGGCGAGGAAATGCTTTAGGGAATAATTGGCTTTAAAGTCTCAAAGTTGTTAAGGCAAAAATACATCACTAAAATGAAGAGTATATGGTTAAAAAAAACCCACCTTTTCAGCGGTAATGATATATGCCTACACATAGTTTTCCAAAGTCTTCGGTAACTTCAAACTTTGAAGTCTGCTGAATTAAAAAATAAAAATTATTAAATATGTAGGTATTTTGAAATAACACAATACTGAAATATTAATCTGAGTTTGCCTCCTATGAAAAACCTAGAGGATAGATTTGAATCTATTAATGAAATAAGTCTTGGGTTTTATTTGAAATATATCCTTAAAAATGTGAAAGTATTACTAATCTCAGAAATGCTACATATTTAAATTGCTACCTAAAAATTTGAGGCCTCCAGGAGTTAAAAGTTCAAACTAAGTTGGGAGAAATTATATGGTTGTGATAACAGAAGGCATGAAGTATGGAAATTCATTTTTGAGGAGAATAATTCTTGCATTTTCCCTTGAAAAATTAGTAGTTCAAAATATATTATAGTCTTTATGTTTATCTGTGTCTGTGTACTACCTGTGGTAAAATTTCAACCTAGAATATAATATTTTATTGGCCTAAAAAAGTGGGGGGGGGGGGATTAATTCTATAGTTCAAACCAAAATTTTTTAAAAATATATTTTATTGCCGAAACCGGTTTGGCTCAGTGGATAGAGCATCGGCCTGCGGACTGAAAGGTCCCAGGTTCGATTCCGGTCAAGGGCATGTACCTGGGTTGCAGGCATATCCCCAGTGGGAGATGTGCAAGAGGCAGCTGATCGATGTTTCTCTCTCATCGATGTTTCTAACTCTCTATCTCTCTCCCTTCCTCTCTGTAAAAAATCAATAAAATATATTTTAAATATATATATATATATATATTACTGATTTTCTTTACAGAGAGGAAGAGAGAGGGATAGAGAGTTAGAAACATCCATGATGTGCATGCAACCAAGGTGCATGCCCCTGACCGGAATCGAACCCAGAACCCTTCAGTCCACAGACCGATGCTCTATCCACTGAGCCAAACAGGTCAGGGCCAAACCAAATTTTTAATATTAAAACCGGTTTAAGCTTAACTGATGTGTTTAGAATAATTACAAAGAGTGTGTGATGTAATCTTTGGGTTGTGTATATTTAACAGTCTTTCCAAGTTAAATTTTGAGACTTTAACCAAGAGATAGCTTTGGGACATTCCAATGGCCCTGGAATGACTCAGGATTTATTCTCTCTTCTAAAAAAAATATTTTGAACTAAATTAGGCCAATTTAATATACTTGACATTACATGGGAAGCTTTGTCAAATAAAAATTAATAACTGTTCTATTTATATACATATATTTTGTTGAAATGAGTGTTATAGGAATTTCAGTCTGCAAAGATTCAGTGCCAAGTTCAAACAGGAAACTCTCAGGGGGGCAGGTGTCCAGTCCGGGACACCGGGCAAGCCAAAGTGATGGTTCCCTGTGGGGCGTCTGCCAGTGATACTCCGGTATCTGCATTTCACAGATTGGGAGTTTATGAATTATTTTCAATGCTCAGGACACTGATCTCAATAAGCCATGTGCCTCATTTTAAATCTTACTTATTGTTTATTCTTTATATGCTGAAATTATAATTGAATCTAAAGGTATACAGATTTTATATTATTCTCTATGTAATTTTACAGGAATTATTAATTACCAAGAAATTGTTGTCTTGGAATGTTATCCTATCTAATAAAAGAGAAACATGGTAATTAGCTGTACCTCCACTACCCTTCCCATTGGTTAATCAGGGCGATATGCAAATTAACTGCCAGCCAAGATGGCGGCCGGCAGCCAGGCAGCTTGAAGCGAACATGAGGCTTGCTTGCTTCAGTGACGGAGGAAACCAACGTTCCCCGCCTGCCGCTGCCGGCCTCTGAGCTTGCAGTTTGAAACATTGTTACAAATATAGAAGCTAAACAAAACCCATGAAACCTGCTTTCAGCCAGCCAGGATCTCAGAGCTGGAGTTGAAACAGTGTTTCAATTATAGAACCCAAACAAACCAGATACCTGCTTTCAGCAGCAGAGGCCTCAGAGGTGGAGTCAAGCCCCAGAGCTAAAGCTGGCCCAGAATTTAAAAAAAAGAAAAAAAGGAGCGGTTGGGAGCTTCAGTCACCCACCAGCCTGAAAACAGCCCTCAGCCCCTCACCCAGACTGGCCAGGCACCCCAGTGGGGACCCCCACCCTGAAGGGGGTGTGACCAGCTGCAAACAGCCATCATCCCCTCATCCAGACTGGCCAGGCACCCAAGCAAGACCCCCACCCTGATCCAGGACACCCTTCAGGGCAAACCAGCCAGCCCCCACCCGTGCACCAGGCCTCTATCCTATATAGTAAAAGGGTAATATGCCTCCCAGCACCAGGATCAGCAGAGCCGCGAGGCCTCCCGGCACTGGGATCAGCGTGACAGGGGGCAGCGTCCAAACCCCCTGATCGCCCTGCAGCTCTGTGTGTGACAGGGGGCAGGGCCACAACTTCCCTATCCGCCCTGCTCTGTTCGTGACAGGGGAAGACACCCCAACCCCCTGATCGGCCCTGCTCTGTGCCTGATAGGGGGGAGCTCCCCAACCCCCTGATCGCCCTGCGGCTCTGTGTGTGACAGCGTGCGGCGCCCCAACCCCCTGATAGGCCCTGCTCTGTGTGTGACGGGGTAGAACCATAACCTCCCCATCGGCCCTGCCCTGAGTGTGACAGTGGCAGCGCCCCAACCCCCTGATCAGCCCTGCTCTGTGGGTGATAGAGGGCGGCGCCCCAACCGCCCCTGCTCTGTGTGTGACAGGGTAGAGCCATAACCTCCCCAACGGCCCTGCCCTGAGTGTGACAGGGTGCAGTGCCCCAACCCCCTGATCCACCCTGCTCTGTGTGTGACAGGGGGCGGTGCCCCAAGTCCCCTATCAGCCCTACTCTGTGAGTGACGGGGGAGCTCCTCAACCCCCTGATCGGCCCTGCTCTGTGTGTGACAGGGGGGAGCTCCCCAACCCCCTGATCGACCCTGCTCTGTGCGTGACAGGGTACAGAGCCCCAACCCCCCTGATGGACCCTGCTCTGTGAGTGACAGGGGGCAGAGCCCCAACCCCCTGCTTGGCCCTGCTCTGTGCGTGACAGGGGGTGGCGCCACAACCTCCCCATCGACCCTGCCTTGAGTGTGACAGGGGGCGGTGCCCCAACCCCCCAATGGGCCCTACCCTGAGCATGACTGAGGGTGGCATCGCAAACTCCCGATCCGCCCTGCTCTGTGCATGACAGGGGGCGGCGCCCCAACTCCCCAATCAGCCCTGCTCTGAGCCCTACCAGGGGCTGTACCTAGGGATTGGGCCTGCCCACTGCCACCCGGGAGCAGGCCTAAGCCAGCAGGTCGTTATCTCCCGAGGGGTCCCAGACCGCGAGAGGGCACAGGCTGGGCTGAGGGACCCCGCCTCCCCTCCGAGTGCACAGATTTTTGTGCACCGGGCCTCTAGTATCTATTATAAAGGACTTACCTTGGACAAACCTCTCCAAGAACACTTCCCTAATAATTCCCAGGGTAGAATAATATATGGGTCTAATCTAGATGAGTATTTTAGGTGAATATTGTCTCAATATAGGAATGGATGAAATTAACTGCCCAGAAGAAAAATTGGAACTTCTGGACAGTAGCAGATACTTGTTCCCCTCAGATCCTTCCTTGTCAAATATTAGACAGTTTCTGTTCCTAATCGACGTTATTGGTTTATTATTGTTACTTTTGTTCCTGGTATGTAAATGTGATACTAGATGCAGAAAAACAAAACTTAAGACAAAAAGAAAAAAAGAAAGAAAGAAGACAAGCAACAAAAGTACTTAGATTACGGTCACTCAAAAATTAGAAATGATCCAAGATCCTTTTCAACAAGGACATATAGGACCTGACTGCCTCCCATTTACCTGCCCTTTTTTAAAAAATAACAATAATTCGACCTTAAGTGCCATCTAAGGTTATGGTCTTGCCCCTCCCCAGTGGTCCACCTGTTCAGCAAGACTCGGTGACACTGAGCCTTCCTAGGAATCAGCCTTCCTGGCACCGTGGGACTCCATTATCCAACCAAACGGTTGGTCATCAATGCAGCCTTTGGATTGATTTATGGCCAAAAGGGGGATGTGTGGACGAAAGGGGCCACGTGCTGACCTGACAGCTCCGGGGAGGCCTGCGTGGCCGTCTTGCAAACTCAGACCTAAAGTCACCACAAAGGATGGTCTGAAATTAAACTTTAACTAAAGCAGTGATGGTGGGCAGTTATGTCCTGGGCCGGTATCTTCCCTGACAAGGGCAGCCTTTACCGTAACTGAGCCTGTCTGTCTTTTTGCATCTATGATAACACAGCCTTGAAATGTCTGGGTAACGTGTAACTTCCTTTTTCCCGGACCCCTTGGGGCACAGCCTAATGTGCTGGGTGAGGACAGAGACCCCCAATTCCGTCATTGTCATGTTAACTGTTCCTGCACCCACCTAAGCATGTGTCCATCATTTCACCTTTTATCCAGTCCCAGGGTTCCCCCCTTTGCTTTCCCCGCCTCCCTAGTCTATCACCAATGGATTTCATGTGACCCACCCGTCCCTTTCCTTCGATTGGCTGTATAAATACGGGTGGAACCCGCCATTCTCCGGACATTATCTCAATTCGTTGAGGTTCTGCTTCCCGGCCTATGTCCACAGTTTGGCTCCAATAAACTCACAAAAATTCTTTACAGGTTTCAGTGGTTTTTAGGTTAACACTCTCTCAAAACCAATGTAAAAAGTTATTTTTTTAAACAAAGACCCATGCCAAGCACCTCACCCACCGGCGTAAAAGGCCAAGCACCAGCCAGCCGGCCGGCAAGGCCAGAGGAAAGCTGAAAGGGGTGCGAATCGCCAAGGGAAAGCTCTGCTTGCAGGCGCGGCACCTTCTGCGGGGAAACCCAGACTGTCCAGGACACAGACAAGCTCACTCAGCCGTCAGGGCGCAGCCGGACGGACGGGAGCCCCGGGCTGTGGACCCGCCCAGGCGGCTTGGCAGCGGCTCGCGGGCCCCCGGGGGCCCTGGACCCAGAAACCGGCCTGGGCGCAGCTTGTGCGGGGCCAGCGGGGCGGGTCCCTGGACGGACCTGGTGGAGGCCGGGCGGGCGGGGGGTGGGGGCCGGGGGTGGGGGGGCTGGTCTCTCTGCCCCTCCCCCCACCCCCCTCCCCCACGGCCTTTCCTGAGTCAAACACAACCTCAGGGCTGAGAGCATGGCTCCTCCTGAGACCCGCCTCCCTCCCCAGGAGCCCCAGGCGCCAGGGGGGCACCGACCAGGCAGGTTCCCGAGGCGGGGGCTCGGAGGAGGACACAGGGCCTGGCGGGGTGAGGGGGGGTGAGGGGCGGGGGGGAGGGGTGAGGGGCGGGGGGGGGGGTGAGGGGCGGGGTGAGGGGGGATGAGGGGCGGGGTGAGGGGGGGTGAAGGGGGTGAGGGGCGGGGGTGAGGGGGGTGAGGGGGGGTGAAGGGGGTGAGGGGCGGGGTGAGGGGGGATGAGGGGCGGGGTGATGTGGTGAGGGGCGGGGTGCGGGGGTGAGGGGGTGAGGGGCGGGGTGAGGGGGGGTGAGGGGCGGGGTGCGGGGGTGAGGGGCGGGGTGAGGGCTCCCCCGGGGCAGGGGAGGCCTGGGGGCGGAGCTTCGTGGGGGTCCGGCCTCAGGAGGGCGCTCCTGGGGGCCAGGGCTCCGGACCTTCTCACTGGGAGCCCCTCTCAGGCCCTGATTTGGACTCGGTTTGGGTCGCCATGGTAACCAATTCTGCTTTGGTCCCAGGCCTGGAGGTCCCGGTTCCGTTTCTGTGTCCAGGGAAAACCAGCCTATTTGCGTAAACCCGAGTGAAGACTGAGCCTGAACTTCCTTGTTGTGGTTTTGTTATTAATCATCACTTTAGGGTATTTTTCTATTGATTCTTAGAGAGAGGGGGGAGGGGGAGAGGAGGGAGAGAGAGAGAGAGAGAGAGAGAGAGAGAGAGAGAGCGCCCTCCCACACGTGCCCAGGGGTTTAAACCTGCAACCCAGCCACCTGCCGGGACGGGAATCCAGCCCGGGACCCCTCGGTGCCTGGGCCGAAGCGCTACCCGCTGGGCCACGCTGGCCAGGGCGAACCTGAACTTGCAGGCTTCACAGAACAGCTTTCCCAGCTCCGGAAATGAACCCCCATAACGAAGGCTTTGAATCGAGGGCTGCCCCTTCCCGGGCGGGATCTGCGGTCTCCTGGCCTGGACATTCCCGGAGGCCATAGAGCAGCGGTTCTCAACCTGTGGGTCGCGACCCCTTTGGGGGTCGAACGACCCTTTCACAGGGGTCGCCTAAGACCATCGGAAAACACATATATAATTACATATTGTTTTTGTGATTAATCATTATACTTTAATCATGTTCAATTTGTAACAATGAAAATACACCCTGCATATCAGATATTTCTTTCTTTCTTTCTTTATTTTAGGCAGAGATTGACAGAATTTATTTTTTTTAAACTATGATCAAACCATATGCTGTCTACGGAAGACCCACTTTATTTTATTATTATTATTTTTTAATGTTTATTGTTCCGATTATTACAGTTGTTCCTCTTTTTTCCCCCCATAGCTCCCCTCCACCCAGTTCCCACCCCACCCTCTGCCCTTACCCGCCACCCCCGCACTGTCCTCATCCACAGGTGTACGATTTTTGTCCAGCGTCTTCCCGCACCCCCCTCACCCCTTTCCCCCGAGAATTGTCAGTCCACACCCTTTCTATGCCCCTGATTCTATTATATTCACGTTTATTCTGTTCATCAGATTTTTTATTCACTTGATTTTTAGATTCACTTGTTGATAGATATGTATTTGTTGTTCATAATTTGAATCTTTACCTTTTTCTTCTTCTTCCTCTGCTTAAAGAATACCTTTCAGCATTTCATATAATCCTGGTTTGGCAGTGATGACCTCCTTTACAAATGAACCATTGTTTTTTGATATTTTAATAAAAGTGGCAATAGGCCTGGCTGGTGGGGCTCAGGGGTTGAGTGTGGACCTAGGAACCAGGAGGTCAGGGCACAGGCCCAGGTTGCGGGCTCCATCCCCAGTGTGGGCTGCAGGAGGCGGCCGATCCATGATTCTCATCATTGATGTTTCTCTCTCTGCCTCCCTTCTCTCTGAAATCAGTAAAAATATAGTTAAAAGAACAAGTGGCCGTCGGTGTCAAGGTTCTTTAACCCTAGGACCCCTTCTCACACCTGGGCCTGAGGATCCCGCATTCTAAAGCAGAGCCTCCACCGCCTCCCCACCCAGGGCGGAACCAAGGGGCGCGGGCCGGCGTTTCCGGCCGGAGGCCGAGGGCGGGACTCTGAGGGCGGGACTCTGAGGAAGGACGCAGTGGGTGGGACTCCAGTCCGCCGCCACAGGTCTTCGGGGCGGGTCGTGTCCCGCCATGAAGTTTCGCGCCAAGATTGCGGACGCAGCCTGTCTCAACCGCTTCACGCGTGAGCGGGTCGCAGGCGCCCAGGGTGTGGAGGTAGCCGACGGGGCGGGGCTGGTAGCCGAGGGGGCGGGGCTGAGGGGCTGGGAGCTGAGGGGTGAGGGGGCGGGGCTGTGGCTGAGGGGGCGGGGCTGGGAGCCGAGGGGCGGGGCTGAGGGGTTGGGAGCTGAGGGCTGAGGGGGCGGGGCTGTGGCTGAGGAGGCGGGGCTGGGAGCCGAGGGGCGGGGCTGAGGGGTTGGGAGCTGAGGGTGAGGGGGCGGGGCTGTGGCTGAGGGGCGGGGCTGAGGGGCTGAGGGGCAGGGCTCAGCGGACCATGGGCAGTGGGCCCCCAGCTGGTTTGGGGCCGGACTAGCCCCGGGGCGGCCCTAACCCGGCACAGGCGGTTCTTGGGGGCCGAGCTGCTGCCCTGGGAGCCTCGGTGTCCTCACCCCACCCGCGTGCGCCTGGCCCACGCCGGCCTCCAGGCCCCGCACAGGGACCCGCAGGTGACCCGCGCCCCCCGCAGGCGGCAGCTGCCTGGTGGCCAAGCTGGCCCGCGCCTGCACCCCGCGCATCCGCCTCCCTCCCCCGGCCCGGCCCGAGCGGCCCGAGCGCACCGGCCCCTGACCCCGCGCCGCCCCCGGAGAACTTCTTCAGCGAGTTCCAGGTGGAGGCGTCTCCGAGGACAACGATGCCATCTACGTGGAGCTCGCGGCCGAGAACCGCTCCCGCGCCCTGAACACCGCGCAGAACGGCCGGGCCTTGAAGGTCAGGGGGACCCACCAGCACTTCCCCTCCGGACGGCGTCCTTAGAGCTGGTGAGGAGGGGCCGGCGGGCAGTGGCTGCAGCAGGGGGAGGGGGGTCATGGCAGCGGGGCCGCAGGGCAGGTGCCCGCGTGACCTGCACACCGTGCGTGCGATGGCTCCGTGGGAACGGAGAGCACCCACGCGGCGTGGCCGGCCGGCTTCTCCGCCTCAGGCCTGCGGGTTCCTCGCAGGTGTCTGTGTCGAGCAGCAGCCGCACGTGACCCGACGTCCGTGAAGGTCACTCGCAGGAGGCCGTGGAGGAACCTGAGGAGCCACCGCCCGGACGCTGATGTGAGTGATGGCAGCCGGTGGCTCCCGCGTGCCCGGCGGCGTCATTAGTCCCCGATGTCAGCGCGGCTCTGCTCTGCTGGTTGGAAAGGATGCTCCTTTCTGAAGGCTGCTCCGGGAGGAACGGGCCTGTGCCGGGCTGTTCCCGTAAGACCCTCAGTCAGCCCGGCGTGGCAGGAATGCGGCGGAGAGCGGATGTCCGCCCAGGGGCGGCCGTGCAACTGACTGCCCTGGAAGCCCTTGGCGTTCCTGCCGGGTGGTGGCCGCGGGCACCGGTGTGGGTCCCAGAGGGACGCTGCCATGTCGGTGAGGAGCGATGTCCGGCCGGTGACAGCCAGCAGGGAGGCCCTTCCGCTCCGCAGACTGGTCCCGGGGCAGGGACTATGGTGATGCCCGGGCTCCTTTGCCTCCCGCTCACACTGACGGAAGGAGGGGGATGGAGAGGGAATTCTAGAGGCCCCTCCTGGGCAGCAGCAGGGCACCAGGACAGTGGGAACCGTCTGACGCTGGTGCAGGCACTTCCCCCTCGCGTTTTTGGGTGGAAAGGCCTGAGTCTTGGGCATCCCTCAGAGGACCGCCGTGTCCCGGGTGCATGAAGGCCTCTAGCTGAAGGCGGGTCCTGGGACCAGAAGTGCCACAGGGACCGGTCGCCGAGGTAACCAGAGGCAGGAGTGAGCTAGTGAAACTCTGATAGTTTTTATTTTCGTATTTTAAAAAGAACTTTATTCAGGCAGGTTAAAAACCCAGGATTCTGGAGCTTTTACGCTTCCACGCATTCCAAACCCAGGTAGTGCGCGGGCACCTGCCGGCACTTGCTGTACGGACGTTCTCAGCTCCGGTTCTCTCATGGGCTGTAGGTGAGCCTTTATCTGCCGGTCTCGAAGACGATGGAGAGCGTTGTGGAAAATGAAAAATGTCAGCAGTCAGCTTGTAAGCCACAACTTCTTTAGCAAAGAGCTCTGAAGTGTTTGCTGCGGGCGGCACGCCTGCCCGAGGTGTGGGTGCCCTGGCACTCAGCGTGCGGGGTCCCCTCATTGCGGTGGTTGAGAGCTACAGCTTCCCAGGTGCCTGGGGACCCTGCCCGGGTGTCTCCAGGGGCTCCCTGGGGAGAGTGTCCACATCGGCCCCCTGCCTGTGTTTGTACTCACAGTAGATTCAACACGCTCAGCCGATCTGGCTTCCCTCCGTTACGCTAGGAAAGACATCGCACATCTGCTAACGTCTGTGTTTTATGAGGTGCTGGTTTTGGCAGTGAGTTGAGTGTCCCGTGAGCCCAGGCCACGATGTCTCACTCTAAGCACCCCCTTGCTCTGCAGCCCCAGGCCCATAGCTCTCTCCTCCCCACAGGTCTTGGCTGAGCGACAGTGAGCTCGTCACCTGCGCAGGGCGCGTCCACCATCCACAGCGTGGCTCAGGGCCACGCGGGAGAGGATGCGGAGACAGACGCGCACCCAGGCAGTGCTGAGGTGGGTGGAGGTCCCGCGCTCTTGTCCAGAGCAGCCTGCCAGCATCTGGGAGGGGGAGTGAAGGGGGACGCCTCGCTGGCCCAGAGCCACCGCCGTGCACCCCAGTCCACGGGAGGCCAAGAAAGCTGGAGTGACCGGGCTCTGCAGGAGCTGGTGGTGAGCAGGCGGGACCGGGTGCTGGAGCCGTAAGATAAACACCTCTACCTGGGACGCGATGGAGCCGGGGCAGTGTTCTCAAACCTCTGCCTGTTAAATACGCTGTGGCTCAGCGCAACATCGACATGATGCTTTTTAGATAAAACCCAAAAGTTAGGAAGTGCCTGTGCCTGGTAAGCCTCCGCAGCGTGGCCTCTGACACCTTTCTCTGGATGACACCCCCACCTGGTCGTGGGTGGGGCTGGACGGCTGTGGGGAGCGGATCTTTCTCTGACTTCCAGCGTCACCTGCTCTCCCTCTCATCTCGCTGGTGCCGTTCGTGAAGCACGTGGGGATCCCTGACACCCACACGCTGGAGGGGGCAGCCATGAGGGCACCAGATGCCACCCCCGGGACCAGCATGAGCAAACACAACGGAGGCTCGGCCGTCTTTCCATGGACTCCAGGCCTGGGAAGTGGTGGCAGACTCACTGGCCCTTTTTCCCTATGGACCTGCCACAGCCCTACAGGAAGCGACAGGCCCCACCTGACCATGGGCAGCCTTTGATGAATTCATGGGCCTAAACATCGATCGTCACAGTGACCAACATGAAGAAAAAGAAGGACCAGACGTCAAGTGTCTCCTGGCAGCAAACACGTCCCCTGCAGGGTGACCTCCCCACTCAGCCGGGTCCGAAGTGCTCAGGCTCTGCCCGCTCGCGGTTCCCAGGGACAGCACCCTGCGCGCCTCGGGGAGGCCGGAGAGACCGGCACAGAGAGACCAGCGGAGACAGACGCGGTGCTCCCTGTGAGTAAGAGACACAAGGAGTTGACGTGGTTCACCGTCTGAACGGATCCAACAAGACAGGTCACGTGAGCATCTCAGGAGACGTACAGAAAGCATTCGACACAATCGATGCTCCATGAAAACAAAGCGAGAAAACCTCTCCGCAAAGTAGGACTAGAAGGGAATGTCCCCACACTCAGGGGGCCTCTGTGACCCCACCTACCCTCACACCTGCTGGACAGTGAGTGCTTGTTCAGGGGGAAGCCCGGCTCCTGCTGCCTCTCCCGGAGGTCCCAGCCGGGCCGTGGGCAAGGAAAAAAGCGGAAGCTTATAGATGTGAAAGGAAGAATAAGACAGCCTGCTGGCAGGCGGCGTGCATAGTCTGCACAGAAACCCCCCCGAACGACCCTGAGAAAGGCTCCTGGGATGCCCTAGCACGGGGGCCCGAAGGGTCACAGGATCCAGCCGGCGGGAGCCCAGGCGGGTTCCCACCTCAGCCACGGGCAGTGGGACCCGGAGGTTGAAACAGCGAAGCCACTGACGGCGCTCGGGAAACGAAGCGCTCAGCCCCGGGTGGAAGAAGCGCGGCGTTTGGATCTGAAAACCACAAGACCCGGGAGAAGAGCTCGGCTCTGGAGCAAGGGAGAGACGCTGCGCTCGTGGCCGGATGCGCGGCGCGGCCCGTGTCAGACCTTCCCGGCGCAGCGCCCGTGCGGCCTCAGCCCAAACCCGCCAGCTGAGCTTGTAGACGCCGACAGACTGATTCCGAATGCGTGCGGGAAGCAAGGGGCTGGCCTGGCCAGAGCCATCCTGGAAAAGGGCAGTCAGAGGCTGCCAGTCCCCGACCTCAGGGCTGGGCCTGAAGCCCTGGACCCGAGACACCGCGTGGTGCACACGCAGACCAGCAGGACAGAGCCCAGAAATAGACCCACACGGATGCCCAGCGGGTCTTTGACAAAAGCACAAAGGCAGTTCATTCTGAGGCTGACGCTGGGGAACTTGGATGCCAATATGAGCCTCCTCACAGACCTCACCCTGACACAAAAGGGTCCACTGGAAACGGTCGACTGGGTCTGCACAGCGGCCTGTGAACACGCCATTCCCAATGTCTTTCTTACAGGGACACCTGCATGTCCGTCCTCATGCTGCTCCTACACCTGCTTAGAACCCACGGGCCTTCCCCCCGGGATGAACACTCTCTGCCACGCCATCCGGAACACCTTCGACAGGTAGGCCCGGAGCCGTGTTCACGGTTGGTTATGGACAGTTCTTGGTTATGGACAGCAGGTGGCACCATGTGCTCAACAAAGTGATCATTTGGGTGGCCTCCTGGACCTGAGAAGCTCACCCTGGGGCCTCTAGCCGCTCAGGGCGGCACACAGCTGGCACAGGAGCCCGTGCAGCGGGGAGGGGGGCAGGGGGAGCCTGGGCCAGGAAACACAGGAAGCTATGAGCGGTGAAGGCCATGATGGGGAGGGAGGTGGCCCGCCCTGCCCTCCTCTGAGCCCACACATTGGTGACATGTCACTGACCTGCCACAAGCTCCGTGTTGCTCTGTCTCCTTTCCTCGCGCGTGACCCGCATTTGTCACGATGGCCAGGCTCTGCTCAGCGGGCGTCTCGGCTGAGCTGACGGGTTTCGTCGTCTGAAGCGCTCAGTGTCCTGGGGTCAGCTCCCTGGGGCGAGGGGCAGCAGACGGCTACCTCACGGTCAGTAGCTCACTGGGCGGCAGCACGGTGGTCCTCCCCAGTGGCGCGGGTTAGAGGGTGACTGAGCGGGTGAGCCACCAGGAACGAGTCCACTGTCCTGTCCTGTCCTTTCGCTGCCGCTCAGGGGCCAGGCGCTCCGGGGCCCTGTGCCTCATGCTGCAGATGGCTTCCGCTTAGCTCCCGCAGACCAGACTGCCTGCCATCTCTGTTACAGAGTGACTTTGTTTCTGCTCTTGCGTTAGGAGATGCCAGGAGCTCCTCCGGCAGACTAAGCAGCGTGGGTGCTGATGGGACTGGAGCCTGACCACACTGCTGGATGGCGTGTGCCCGGTCGGCGTGCCCAGCGCTCAGGTGGGCTTCCCTCTGCTCCACCACCGCAGTGGGCGGGGTCGTGGCAACAACCCGTAGGTCCAGAATGATGTGCTGGGTGAGGGTGCCAGGCTCACAGTGTGGCTGTGCTGGGTGAGGGTGCCAGGCTCACAGTGTGGCTGTGCTGGGTGAGGGTGCCAGGCTCACAGTGTGGCTGTGCTGGGGGAGGGTGTACAGGCTCACAGTGTGGCTGTGCTGGGGGAGGGTGTACAGGCTCACAGTGTGGCTGTGCTGGGTGAGGGTGCCAGGCTCACAGTGTGGCTGTGCTGGGGGAGGGTGTACAGGCTGACAGTGTGGCTGTGCTGGGGGAGGGTGTACAGGCTGACAGTGTGGCTGTGCTGGGGGAGGGTGTACAGGCTCACAGTGTGGCTGTGCTGGGGGAGGGGCACAGGCTGACAGTGTGGCTGTGCTAGGGGAGGGTGTACAGGCTCACAGTGTGGCTGTGCTCGGGGAGGGTGTACAGGCTCACAGTGTGGCTGTGCTGGGTGAGGGTGCCAGGCTCACAGTGTGGCTGTGCTAGGGGAGGGTGTACAGGCTCACAGTGTGGCTGTGCTGGGTGAGGGTGTACAGGCTCACAGTGTGGCTGTGCTGGGGGAGGGGCACAGGCTGACAGTGTGGCTGTGCTGGGGGAGGGTGTACAGGCTCACAGTGTGGCTGTGCTGGGGGAGGGTGTACAGGCTCACAGTGTGGCTGTGCTGGGGGAGGGTGTACAGGCTCACAGTGTGGCTGTGCTGGGGGAGGGTGTACAGGCTCACAGTGTGGTTGTGCTGGGGGAGGGTGTACAGGCTCACAGTGTGGCTGTGCTAGGGGAGGGTGTACAGGCTCACAGTGTGGCTGTGCTGGGTGAGGGTGTACAGGCTCACAGTGTGGCTGTGCTGGGTGAGGGTTCCAGGCTCACAGTGTGGCTGTGCTAGGGGAGGGTGTACAGGCTCACAGTGTGGCTGTGCTGGGGGAGGGTGTACAGGCTCACAGTGTGGCTGTGCTGGGGGAGGGTGTACAGGCTCACAGTGTGGCTGTGCTGGGTGAGGGTGTACAGGCTCACAGTGTGGCTGTGCTAGGGGAGGGTGTACAGGCTCACAGTGTGGCTGTGCTGGGGGAGGGTGTACAGGCTGACAGTGTGGCTGTGCTGGGGGAGGGTGTACAGGCTCACAGTGTGGCTGTGATGGGTGAGGGTGCCAGGCTCACAGTGTGGCTGTGCTGGGGGAGGGGCACAGGCTGACAGTGTGGCTGTGCTAGGGGAGGGTGTACAGGCTCACAGTGTGGCTGTGCTGGGGGAGGGTGCCAGGCTCACAGTGTGGCTGTGCTGGGGGAGGGTGTACAGGCTCACAGTGTGGCTGTGCTGGGGGAGGGGCACAGGCTGACAGTGTGGCTGTGCTAGGGGAGGGTGTACAGGCTCACAGTGTGGCTTTGCTGGGGGAGGGGCACAGGCTGACAGTGTGGCTGTGCTAGGGGAGGGTGTACAGGCTCACAGTGTGGCTGTGCTGGGGGAGGGTGTACAGGCTCACAGTGTGGCTGTGCTGGGTGAGGGTGCCAGGCTCACAGTGTGGCTGTGCTGGGGGAGGGGCACAGGCTCACAGTGTGGCTGTGCTAGGGGAGGGTGTACAGGCTCACAGTGTGGCTGTGCTGGGGGAGGGTCACAGGCTGACAGTGTGGCTGTGCAGGGGGAGGGTGTACAGGCTCACAGTGTGGTTGTGCTGGGGGAGGGTGTACAGGCTCACAGTGTGGCTGTGCTGCGGGAGGGTGTACAGGCTCACAGTGTGGCTGTGCTGGGGGAGGGTGTACAGGCTCACAGTGTGGCTGTGCTGGGGGAGGGTGTACAGGCTCACAGTGTGGCTGTGCTCGGGGATGGTGTACAGGCTCACAGTGTGGCTGTGCTGGGTGAGGGTGTACAGGCTGACAGTGTGGCTGTGCTAGGGGAGGGTGTACAGGCTCACAGTGTGGCTGTGCTAGGGGAGGGTGTACAGGCTCACAGTGTGGCTGTGCTGGGGGAGGGTGTACAGGCTCACAGTGTGGCTGTGCTGGGGGAGGGTGAACAGGCTCACAGTGTGGCTGTGCTGGGGGAGGGTGTACAGGCTCACAGTGTGGCTGTGCTAGGGGAGGGTTTACAGGCTGACAGTGTGGCTGTGCTGGGGGAGGGTGTACAGGCTCACAGTGTGGCTGTGCTAGGGGAGGGTGTACAGGCTCACAGTGTGGCTGTGCTAGGGGAGGGTGTACAGGCTCACAGTGGGGCTGTGCTGGGGGAGGGTGCCAGGCTCACAGTGTGGCTGTGCTAGGTGAGGGTGCCAGGCTCACAGTGTGGCTGTGCTGGGGGAGGGTGTACAGGCTCACAGTGTGGCTGTGCTGGGGGAGGGGCACAGGCTGACAGTGTGGCTGTGCTAGGGGAGGGTGTACAGGCTCACAGTGTGGCTGTGCTGGGGGAGGGTGTACAGGCTCACAGTGTGGCTGTGCTGGGTGAGGGTGCCAGGCTCACAGTGTGGCTGTGCTAGGGGAGGGTGTACAGGCTCACAGTGTGGCTGTGCTGGGTGAGGGTGTACAGGCTCACAGTGTGGCTGTGCTGAGGGAGGGGCACAGGCTGACAGTGTGGCTGTGCTAAGGGAGGGTGTACAGGCTCACAGTGTGGCTGTGCTGGGGGAGGGTGTACAGGCTCACAGTGTGGCTGTGCTGGGGGAGGGTGTACAGGCTCACAGTGTGGCTGTGCTGGGGGAGGGTGTACAGGCTCACAGTGTGGTTGTGCTGGGGGAGGGTGTACAGGCTCACAGTGTGGCTGTGCTAGGGGAGGGTGTACAGGCTCACAGTGTGGCTGTGCTGGGTGAGGGTGTACAGGCTCACAGTGTGGCTGTGCTGGGTGAGGGTGCCAGGCTCACAGTGTGGCTGTGCTAGGGGAGGGTGTACAGGCTCACAGTGTGGCTGTGCTGGGGGAGGGTGTACAGGCTCACAGTGTGGCTGTGCTAGGGGAGGGTGTACAGGCTCACAGTGTGGCTGTGCTAGGGGAAGGTGTACAGGCTCACAGTGTGGCTGTGCTGGGGGAGGGAGTACAGGCTCACAGTGTGGCTGTGCTGGGTGAGGGTGTACAGGCTCACAGTGTGGCTGTGCTGGGGGAGGGGCACAGGCTGACAGTGTGGCTGTGCTGGGGGAGGGTGTACAGGCTCACAGTGTGGCTGTGCTGGGGGAGGGTGTACAGGCTCACAGTGTGGCTGTGCTAGGGGAGGGTGTACAGGCTCACAGTGTGGCTGTGCTGGGGGAGGGTGTACAGGCTGACAGTGTGGCTGTGCTGGGTGAGGGTGCCAGGCTCACAGTGTGGCTGTGCTGGGGGAGGGGCACAGGCTGACAGTGTGGCTGTGCTAGGGGAGGGTGTACAGGCTCTCAGTGTGGCTGTGCTGGGGGAGGGTGTACAGGCTCACAGTGTGGCTGTGCTGGGTGAGGGTGCCAGGCTCACAGTGTGGCTGTGCTGGGTGAGGGTGTACAGGCTGACAGTGTGGCTGTGCTAGGGGAGGGTGTACAGGCTCTCAGTGTGGCTGTGCTGGGGGAGGGTGTACAGGCTCACAGTGTGGCTGTGCTGGGTGAGGGTGCCAGGCTCACAGTGTGGCTGTGCTAGGGGAGGGTGTACAGGCTCACAGTGTGGCTGTGCTGCGTGAGGGTGTACAGGCTCACAGTGTGGCTGTGCTGGGGGAGGGGCACAGGCTGACAGTGTGGCTGTGCTAGGGGAGGGTGTACAGGCTCACAGTGTGGCTGTGCTGGGTGAGGTTGTACAGGCTCACAGTGTGGCTGTGCTGGGGGAGGGGCACAGGCTGACAGTGTGGCTGTGCTAGGGGAGGGTGTACAGGCTCACAGTGTGGCTGTGCTGGGTGAGGTTGTACAGGCTCACAGTGTGGCTGTGCTGGGGGAGGGTCACAGGCTGACAGTGTGGCTGTGCTAGGGGAGGGTGTACAGGCTGACAGTGTGGCTGTGCTGGGGGAGGGTGTACAGGCTCACAGTGTGGCTGTGCTGGGGGAGGGTGTACAGGCTCACAGTGTGGCTGTGCTGGGTGAGGGTGCCAGGCTCACAGTGTGGCTGTGCTGGGGGAGGGGCACAGGCTGACAGTGTGGCTGTGCTAGGGGAGGGTGTACAGGCTCACAGTGTGGCTGTGCTGGGTGAGGGTGCCAGGCTCACAGTGTGGCTGTGCTGGGGGAGGGGCACAGGCTCACAGTGTGGCTGTGCTGGGGGAGGGTGCCAGGCTCACAGTTTGGCTGTGCTGGGTGAGGGTGCCAGGCTCACAGTGTGGCTGTGCTAGGGGAGGGTGTACAGGCTCACAGTGTGGCTGTGCTGGGTGAGGGTGTACAGGCTCACAGTGTGGCTGTGCTGGGGGAGGGGCACAGGCTGACAGTGTGGCTGTGCTAGGGGAGGGTGTACAGGCTCACAGTGTGTCTGTGCTGGGGGAGGGGCACAGGCTGACAGTGTGGCTGTGCTGGGTGAGGGTGTACAGGCTCACAGTGTGGCTGTGCTGGGGGAGGGGCACAGGCTGACAGTGTGGCTGTGCTAGGGGAGGGTGTACAGGCTCACAGTGGGGCTGTGCTGGGGGAGGGGCACAGGCTGACAGTGTGGCTGTGCTAGGGGAGGGTGTACAGGCTCTCAGTGTGGCTGTGCAGGGTGAGGGGCACAGGCTGACAGTGTGGCTGTGCTAGGGGAGGGTGTACAGGCTCACAGTGTGGCTGTGCTGGGGGAGGGTGTACAGGCTCACAGTGTGGCTGTGCTGGGGGAGGGGCACAGGCTGACAGTGTGGCTGTGCTAGGGGAGGGTGTACAGGCTGACAGTGTGGCTGTGCTGGGGGAGGGTGTACAGGCTCACAGTGTGGCTGTGCTGGGGGAGGGTGTACAGGCTCACAGTGTGGCTGTGCTGGGTGAGGGTGCCAGGCTCACAGTGTGGCTGTGCTAGGGGAGGGTGTACAGGCTCACAGTGTGGCTGTGCTGGGGGAGGGTGTACAGGCTCACAGTGTGGCTGTGCTAGGGGAGGGTGTACAGGCTCACAGTGTGGCTGTGCTGGGTGAGGGTGTACAGGCTCACAGTGTGGCTGTGCTGGGTGAGGGTGTACAGGCTCACAGTGTGGCTGTGCTGGGGGAGGGGCACAGGCTGACAGTGTGGCTGTGCTAGGGGAGGGTGTACAGGCTCACAGTGTGGCTGTGCTGGGTGAGGGTGACAGGCTCACAGTGTGGCTGTGCTGGGGGAGGGGCACAGGCTGACAGTGTGGCTGTGCTAGGGGAGGGTGTACAGGCTCTCAGTGTGGCTGTGCTGGGGGAGGGTGTACAGGCTCACAGTGTGGCTGTGCTGGGGGAGGTTGTACAGGCTGACAGTGTGGCTGTGCTAGGGGAGGTTGTACAGGCTCACAGTGTGGCTGTGCTGGGGGAGGGTGTACAGGCTGACAGTGTGGCTGTGCTGGGGGAGGGGCACAGGCTGACAGTGTGGCTGTGCTAGGGGAGGGTGTACAGGCTCACAGTGTGGCTGTGCTGGGGGAGGGGCACAGGCTGACAGTGTGGCTGTGCTAGGGCAGGGTGTACAGGCTCTCAGTGTGGCTGTGCTGGGGGAGGGTGTACAGACTCTCAGTGTGGCTGTGCTGGGGGAGGGTGTACAGGCTCACAGTGTGGCTGTGCTGGGTGAGGTTGTACAGGCTCACAGTGTGGCTGTGCTGGGTGAGGGTGTACAGGCTCACAGTGTGGCTGTGCTGGGGGAGGGTGTACAGGCTCACAGTGTGGCTGTGCTGGGTGAGGGTGTACAGGCTCACAGTGTGGCTGTGCTGGGTGAGGGTGCCAGGCTCACAGTGTGGCTGTGCTAGGGGAGGGTGTACAGGCTCACAGTGTGGCTGTGCTGGGGGAGGGTGTACAGGCTCACAGTGTGGCTGTGCTGGGGGAGGGTGCCAGGCTCACAGTGTGGCTGTGCTGGGGGAGGGTGCCAGGCTCACAGTGTGGCTGTGCTGGGGGAGGGTGTACAGGCTCACAGTGTGGCTGTGCTGGGGGAGGGTGTACAGGCTCACAGTGTGGCTGTGCTTGGGAGGTTTCAGCTCACAGTGTGGCTGTGCTGGGGGAGGGTGTACAGGCTCACAGTGTGGCTGTGCTGGGGGGAGGGTGTACAGGCTCACAGTGTGGCTGTGCTAGGGGAGGGTGCCAGGCTCACAGTGTGGCTGTGCTGGGGGAGGGTGTACAGGCTCACAGTGTGGCTGTGCTGGGGGAGGGGCACAGGCTCACAGTGTGGCTGTGCTAGGGGAGGGTGACAGGCTCACAGTGTGGCTGTGCTGGGGGAGGGTGTACAGGCTCACAGTGTGGCTGTGCTGGGGGAGGGTGTACAGGCTCACAGTGTGGCTGTGCTGGGGGAGGGTGCCAGGCTCACAGTGTGGCTGTGCTAGGGGAGGGTGCCAGGCTCACAGTGTGGCTGTGCTGGGGGAGGGTGCCAGGCTCACAGTGTGGCTGTGCTAGGGGAGGGTGCCAGGCTCACAGTGTGGCTGTGCTGGGTGAGGGTGTACAGGCTCACAGTGTGGCTGTGCTGGGGGAGGGTGTACAGGCTCACAGTGTGGCTGTGCTGGGGGAGGGGCACAGGCTCACAGTGTGGCTGTGCTGGGGGAGGGGCACAGGCTCACAGTGTGGCTGTGCTGGGGGAGGGTGCCAGGCTCACAGTGTGGCTGTGCTGGGGGAGGGTGTACAGGCTGACAGTGTGGCTGTGCTGGGGGGGAGGGTGTACAGGCTCACAGTGTGGCTGTGCTGGGGGAGGGTGTACAGGCTCACAGTCTGGCTAATCTTGTGGCCCCACCCCATAACAAAGAAACAGAATTTCTGGAGGATGAGGCCCAGAAATCGGGATTTTAAAAAGATTTCCAGGTGATTCTAATGTGCGGCCAAGGTTGAGAACCACTGACCTAAGGGTTTGGGCTCGATTCTGGTCAAGGGCACGTACCTGGGTTGCAGGTTTGTTCCCTGCCCTGGTCAGGCACGTTTGGGGGGGCAACAATCGATGTGTCTCTCACATTGATGTCTCTCTCTCCCTCCCTCCCTCCTTTCCATTCTCTCTGAAAAGAAATGGAAAAAATATTCTCATGTGAGAATTAACAAAACAAAAAAGATGAGTCTGGAACATTTTATAGGCCAGTAAGTAAGGAAGTGATCAAGCAAGAGAAAAAACTCCATAATGGTAAGGGTATACCAGATGGATGCAGCAACCCCCCCCCCCCAAAAAAAGAAAAAAATTTCCAGTGCCCCAAATGGAAAATTTGAGGGACAAACTTAAGCTGTACTGAATAGAACCCAGCAGGTAACACATAACTAACGCGTACAAATAATCCATATATAAAAGCCTAAGCAGCCCTTAAAACCGAATGACTGGAACAACCGGGGGACCAGTTGGTATGACGCGCACTGACCACCAGGGGGCAGATACTCAATGCAGGAGCTGCCCCCTGGTGGTCAGTGTGCTCCCACAGCCAACCTCCCACGGCTGGCCAACGTCCCCTGGTCCCTTTCCGCAACCAGCTGCCCCCCCCCATCAACCGAATGGGGGGCCAGCCAATCTCCCACAGCCCCTCCCCCCAGCTGGCCCCCCCAAAGTCCCACAGCCCTTCCCCCCATCCGGCCTGATCCCAATGGGCCCTGATCGAGGGCAGGCCGAATGTCCCCACCTGTGCACAAATTCGTGCACCAGGCCTCTAGTAAGTACTAATAAATGGACCAACAAAATAAGACCTGAAGCAGGGAGGCATGGAACAGACTGCCATACCTCAGTGTGAGGTTGAGGGGATGAGAAAAGATAAACCAAAGAACTTATCCTATATAATAAAGTGTAATATGCTAAGTGTCTGTTCATGTGACCATTCGACCGTTCCACCAGCCGCTATGATGCACACTGACCACCAGGGGGCAGATGCTCTGACCAGTAGTTAGCTTGCTGCTGGGGTCCAGCCAATCAGGACTGGGTGAGACAGGCTGGACATGCCCTGGAGCCCTCCCGTGGTCCTTCCCCGGCTGGCCAACCTCCTGTGGTCCCTCCCAAGCTGGATTGCGAGAGGGCGCAGGTGAGGCCGAGGGACCCTAGTGTACTTATATGCACAGCCCACGGACATGGGCAATAGGGTAGTGAAGACCTGGGGGGTGGGGGGAAGGAGCTGGGAGGAGGGGGAAAAGCAGGGTGAATGGGAGATATCTGTAATACTATTAACAATAAAATATATATTGCCCGGCTGGTATTTCTCAGTGGTTGAGTGTCGACCTATGAACCAGGAGGTCACCGGCCGATTCCCGGTGGAGGGCACATGCCCGGGTTGTGGGCTCGATCCCCAGTAGGGGGTGTGCAGGAGGCAGCCGATCCATGATTCTCTCTCATCATGATGTTTCTATCTCTCCCTCACTTTCTCTCTGAAATCAATAAATGAAAAAATATAAATATGTACCTTAAATATATATGTATAAAAAATAATAAATGGGAGAATATCTCCCATGCAGAAGAATTCCAAGTAATTCCTGGGGATCCCCCCCACTCTGTCACAAGGGGGAGCCCCCTCCCCTGGTCCTGCAGCTTGGGCTGAGCCCCAGGTGTCCTCCCAGAGAGAACAGGCTGGGAAGAGAAGAGACGACAAACCCCACCCTGGGGTGCTCAGGTCACGTGGCACCATGAGTCCTGCCGATGGTGCCCTGGATGGTGTAACGAGGGCGCTTGACACCCCCCCCTCCGTCATCCTCCCAATCCAGCCTCAGCCGAATCCCAACAAGAACAGCAGAGGGCGCCCTCGGCACACCTACCGCTCCTCTCAACCGGCCAAGGCCTCAAATCCAGAGCCGAGAAGCTGCACCGCCAGGAGGGAGAAGCTGCACCGCCAGGAGGTGCCCGCGCGGCTACATGTCAGGCGGGGTCCTGGGCAGGACCCGGGGCAGGAGGGGGCCATTTGGGGGAACTGAGGCGTCTGAGTGCAGGATGGCTTCATTGAGTTCACGATGTGTCCGTACTGGTTCACTGATTGTGACAAACGCATCAGAGTGAGCGTGTGAGTGAGCGTTCTCCGGGGAGCAGCACCAACGGGACCGTAGACACAATGTAGATGTACATGCAGATTTATCTGAAGGAACTGGCTCGTGACTGGGGAGACTTGGTAAATCCAAATTCTATTGGGGGGAGGGTGGGGAGAAGGCTGGGGCGCTGGGAAGGCCGGGCTTGCAGTTGGCTGTCTTCTGGTGACTCCTTCCTCGGGGAGCTCAGAGTTTGGTCTCTACATCTTTCGACTGATGGGGCGAGGCCCCCCACACTGTGGAGGGTCACCTGCTAGACTCAGAGTCCACCAGTATCAGTGGTCTGTTACTCTTGTTCAAAAATCACCTTCACAGAAACATCCAGAACAGCGTTGGAGCAAATATCGGCATCGTGGCCCTGCCACGCTGACACAGGACGTTAACCGTGGCACCAACAAACCCGTCGGGTGTGACACGCTGTCGCTGGCAGGATCCGGAAGAGGAAGTGGAGTGTCTGGGAGGCGCAGAGGTGGGTGAGGCCGGGCCGCCCCGGGTCTGCACCCACGACCCCAAAGCTCCAGGAAGACATACTGAGTGGAAGTATGTTTACAAAATAAAATGTTTTTATCGACGACAGAGAGAGAGAGAGAGAGAAACATCTATGATGAGAGAATCATGGATCGGCTGCCTCCTGCACACCTCCCACCGGGAGTCGAGTCCACAACCTGGACGTGGGCCCTGATGGGGAACTGAACCGTGGCCTCCTGGTTCCTAGGTCGACACTCGGCCCCTGAGGCACACAGGCGGGCGGACCTGTGCTTCTGTAGGCGAGAGGAAGGCTGAGCTGGCAGCCTGCGTGAGCTTTTGGTTTCTCTGCACGTGGCCATTTAGTTTGGAATGAAAGGGGTGAAGCACGGCTTTTATGTGACCTGAGAGCAGCCCCCACGTGACTGCATCAGAGCTCCCCGGGGGGGGGGGGGGGGGCGAGGTTCCTGGGCCCGGAGGACCCGCCGAGGACCTCCTGTGCGATGGAAGTCATGCGTGACTCGCTGTGTGATGGAAGTCATGCGTGAACGTCAGCACGCACGGTGCTGGGGGGCCCTGGGTCTGCTGGGGGTCTGCCCATCACCTCCCTCTGCTCCCCCAGCATCGTCTGAGGTTCAGGTTTCAGACACAGGGTGGTGCCAAGGGCCACATGAAGCACTGACCTTCCGGGGGGCTTGCGGCTTTCCCGTGAGCGACAGTGCACGATGGCTGCCCCCTCCCCCACACCCCCACACACAGCAGGGGCGGAGAGACAGATCTGGGCAGACAGATGGCTGTGGGAGGGTGGTAGATGGAGGTGAGTGGAGGATTCCGGCGCCTCAACGGCTCATCCTGCTCCAGCCCCCTCCCCAAGCCTCAGTTTCCCCGTGTTACAGGGGCCCCCATCCCCCCGCACCCGCAGAGCCTTTCACTCCCTTGTCCAGTGTGACCCCCATGGCCACCATCTCTCCTCTCTGGGCCACCTCGCTTCCTCCCGGTCGGCAGGGGGGGCCGGACATGGCCCTGCTCTGTGGGGACCTAATGGGCTTTGCGGGGAGACGGGAGCTTCTGTGTGGGGTGGGCAGCAGGGCTCTAGGGTTTGGTGTGAACAGGTGGTTCTGGGGAGGAAAAGCTGAGCAAGGGCGAGGCCTGGAGCTCCGGCTGCTGTGGCCTGAACAGGAAGGGGCAGGTTTGCGCTTGGAAAGCAGGAAAGGCCCCGAGGCCGTGCGGGGTGGGAAGGGCTGAGGCCGAGGCTGGGGGCCACCCAGGCCTGAGGGAGGGGCTCTGTCTCCGGGGCAGCCTCACCCCCAAGACCTGCTGGGAGCTGCTGTCCAGCAGGCACTCTGCTCCCCACCTGCACGCCCCGCACCCCACCCACGCGGGGAAGAGGGGTGGGCGCTCAGCAGGTCTCACCTGAGAAAGAGCCACCTGGCTGGGCGACTGGTTGTCTAACCCACAGCCTCACCCCCAGCTGCTCCCCAAAGCTGTAATTATCGCTTCAGGCGGAAGGATTATTCCGAGGGGCAGGGACCCGGCCTGGCTGGAGGTGACACTTGAGCACGCTCCCTCCTCGGCCCCCCGTGGCTCCTGCCTGGGGCACAGGCCACGGGGAGGTGGGGGCGGCCCCGGAACCAGCCCTAACTTGGCAACAAGTGAAAGTAAACATGTTCTTCAGGTGATGCAGTCATGTCATCAACTCACCATTTTTTTTTTAAGGCACTCTTCTTTAAAAAATATATTTTTATTGATTTCAGAGAGGAAGGGAGAGGGAGAGGGAGAGAAACATCAATGATGAGAGCGAATCATTCATCTGCTGCCTCCAGCTCGCCCCCTCTAGGGACCGAGCCCACAACCCAGGCCTGTGCCCTGACCGGAAATTGAACCGTGACCTCCTGGTTCATAGGTGGACACTTAACCGCTGAGCAACGCCGACCGGCTGGGGCACGACTGTCCCTAGTGACCACGCTGTCCACGTGGTCCTCAGCTCCCGGGCTTGTGCCCGCGCCCACCTGGTCTCAGGGCTGCGGCCTCCAACACAGTCCCCACTAAGGCTCAGGTCCCTGGGAGGTAATGTGACCCAGTTCTGCCCCCGCCCTCTCCTACTTCCATCTGTTCAGCCAACAAGGACTGAAGCCGGCTGAGCCAGACAGGCCCGGGCCCCAAACTCAGGCGCGAGGCAGCGAGTGCTGGTCCTCACAGGCCTCGTGTCCGGCTACACAAGCACATGCCCGAGCGATGCCCTGGCACCGGGCCTGGACGTGAACACACGCGGGAGCCCTGGGGCAGAGGGGCAGCTGCTGCAGTGTGGCCGTAAGGGCTGGACCTTCAGGTGCGGGGGCCATGGGGCGCGGGTAGCAACGGGCCTGCCTGCTCTGGGATCGTCCCGGCTGCTGTGTGGGGTTGTGGGGGACCCTTCAAGGCCGGACAGGGGTGGGGAGTGCAGTCAGCGGGTGTGGTCTTGGTGGTGGCCCAGGCGTGAGTGTGAGCATCAGACAGATAAGATGCTTGGCCTGAGGGTGGGGGACAGGCCCAGGGCCTCGGGGACTCGACCCCATGGGGACAAGGGTTGGCATCCATGCATCCTGACGGTGGACAGGCGCAGCTAGGGGTTGAGCCCGATGAGTCTGTGGAGGGTGGAGGGCTGCTAGAGGTCACACGGGGCCTGGACGAGGCGGGAGGACAGCCAGGACCCAGCATCCTGCAGAGTGCCTGGCGACGACGCTGGGACATGGCCTTGGCGTCTGGCAAGAGGATGTGGGGACAGGCAGGCTCTCTGCCCTCCCCTCGGACCAGGCTGGGTGGGCGATGTTTGCACGGAGAGCGGCGGGGACGCCAGCGCCCGCCCTGCTGGGGGCTGGGTGCCTGAGCCAGCAGCCGCCCCCAGGTGCCCAACCTGCACGTGGGCCGGAGGCAGGGGTCGCCCAGGCCAGCAACCGGGCAGCTCCTTGCCACGCACGTGCAGTGCCCAGGGGGCAGCGGAGCTCTGGGGACACCTGGCAGCTCAGCCAGAAATGCCAAAGCCAGAGCTCCCAGGTATCATGGCTGCCAGCCGAAGTCACCTTAAGCCGTGCTGCTCTCCCTGCTGCTGCGCTGAGGAGTGGGAGCCCCTGCGGGGGCCGTGCCCGAGGCTGTGGCCTGAGGCTGGCTCCAGGCCACCTTCCTGCCAAGCCCTGGGACAGGAGGGGCAGCTGCGGCTTCCCCTCGAGCTATAAAAAGCCCGGCCCAGCGAGCGGAGGGCAGAGCGAGGGACAGGACGCACAGGACCCGGAGCTCAGAGCTCGGCCCAGCAGCATGAGGTTGGGCCCCGCCATCAGGCTGCTGCACGCCCCCCTGAGGGCCTGTGTGGTCCCCAAGGCGCACATCTCCGCCAAGCCGGCCAAAACACCCACTTCTGCCCCCGTAAGTACCCGGGAGGCGGCAGGGGCCGGCCCACGGAGGGCTGGCAGTCCCGGAGTTCTCGGGATGAGGCGGGTTCCAGGGTGGGCCCCAGGAAGCCAGGCTGGTAAAGGGAGAGGGGACGCGGGCGCGGGGCCTGTCCTAGGGCGGGGTTTTGTCCCAATGCAGCCAGGGTCCCGGCAGCCAGCTGTCCCTGGGGCCTATTCTCAGGCTCCCACTGCCTCTGCCAAGGCAGGTGCTGAGGCTGAGCTGGGAGGTGCTGTGGGACCTGCAGCGTCACCCGTGAAAGGGGAGGGTGGGCTCTCTGAGGGCCAGGGGAGAGCACGGGGGAAACCAACCTGCTTCCCCGGCCCCAGAGAGCAGACAGGACCCGTTTCCAGCCTAAGTCACCACGGTTAGGAAGGTCACGGCCCAAGGTCATGTGCTAGGAAGCAAAGCCCGGAGCTCTGCCTGAGGCCTCTGGGGGTGGAAGTTAAAAGGATTAGTCCCCCATCTGGCACCTGATCTTGGACTCTGGAGGGCCCAGGCTGTTCCAGGAAACCAGGGAAGTAGGGCTGCCTCTTCAGAACCTGCCCTGAAGGGAGAACATGGATCCAGGAACCCCCACTCCAAGGCCCTGTCCTTGTTTGCAAGCAACTTAGAACCTGGGCTGCCTGCCGCCCTGCAGGCCCTGACCAGCAGCAGGTGCCCCGGGAGGGAGTCAAGGTCGAGGGGCCGGCACCTCACGTGTGCTCTCCCCCCCGCAGGAGCAGGCCGTGGCGCTCGTGGTGACCTTCCTCAGCTTCATGGTCCCCGCCGGCTGGGTGCTGTCCCACCTGGACAGCTACAAGAGCCGCTCCGCCGAGTGAGGCTCTGCCCAGCCAGGCCGGGCGGCGGCCGCCGCCGTGGACACGGGAGGGAGCGCTCATTAAACCCTCCCCCACCGAACGCTCGCCTGTGTTCATCATGCACGTGCGCCGCCTCCCGGACGCTCAGCACAGGGCACTCGGGTCACAGGAGCTGCTGGCTCAGGGCAGGGGGTGTCCCTGGCCCCCGCCCCTGCCCCGCCCGTCCCTGAGTGTGCAGAGACGCTCTCCTCTGAGGGGAGGCCAAGGCCACTTCCCCCCAAACCCTCCCATTCCCTCTCCTGCCTCGTCTCTGCAGACACAGGCCTGCCCTGGAGGGCGCGCCAAGGGAAACCAGAGAGGACATGGCAAAGGCGTTTATTGCAGGGCCCTCGGGCCACCTGGGAACCTGCTCACACGGGTGGTGGGGGGGGAGGGGGCAGATGCCCACACGCAGGGCCCACCCTCCCGATCCGCGGGCCCCACCCTCCCTGCGGGCCTGGAGACACCACGGTCCCGCTTTCACAGGAAGAACAGTCCTGCCCAACAGAACCCGCCTCGGCAGGGAGCCCTCGGCAGGGAGCCCGTGGCGGGGAGCGGGCGCTGCTGGGAGGACTCTAGGTGAGGACGTCGTGCGCCTGGTGCTCCACCAGCATCTCCATGCTCTTGACGTCCGTGCACCAGGACTCCAGGCGGTCCTTCATCCCCTGAATCTGAGGGCAGAGAGTACAGAGTGAGGCAAGCAGGGCCCTAACGGGGGGGACCCCGAGCTGGGGGGTGGGGGGCAGGACACAGTGCTGCACAGGCATCTCCCCACAACCACATTTCACACGCTGGCAGGAAAGAGCCGGCAAGCACAGGAAATCCACAGGATTAAATTCCAGCAAATGTGAGGACGGATTTAGGCTCAAATCACAGAAGCAGGAACGTACCTGATCAGAGGACCAATTTTAGGATTAAGAGGCACCACCAGCATGACCAGCACTGTTACCACAATCGCTTTTAAACACAGGGTTCAGGTCCCAGGCGGCATTAAACTAGGTTCCCTGACACCCTGCCCCGAGGCAGGAGCCCGCCCGCGCCCCTTCCTTCCTGGTGGCCCCGTCACCTGCTGCAGATCCAGCACGCGGGGCTGCACCCAGGTCATGTGGACGCGCCCGTCCACCTCGTCGATGCTGCCTTTCACCAGCCCTACCGACAGCGCCTTCATCACCAGCAGCTCCACCTGCGCAGAGGGCGGTGTCAGGTGAGCGCCAGCGCTGCCAAATGCCGGGGAGGACGCCGCTTCTCTGTGGTCTGAGTTGGGGAGCAGGGTGCCCCCACCAGGAGCGCGGCCCCTCTGGGACAGCCCCAGTCCAAACACTATACCTCGTTCACGCTGATCTTAGAACTTTTGGCAATTTCTTCAAAAGTGAGTTGTCTGTGATTGGCAGGTCGTGTGAAAGTCATCTGAAAAAAATTTTCCAAATAACTGTCAGAACTAACAATAAGGACACTTTTATCAATACATGCTCTGGAAATGTAGACGTTAGTACCTCTACACTAAAGCTTCCTTAACATTAGCCACATATTTCATTAACAACCAGGTTCCAGCCCTGACCGGTTTGGCTCAGTGGATAGAGCGTCAGACTGAGGGGTCCTGGGTTCGATTCCGGTCAAGGGCATGTACTTTGGTTGTGGGCACATCCCCGGTGGGAGTGTGCAGGAGGCAGCTGATCGATGTTTCTCTCTCATCGATGTTTCTGACTCTCTATCCCTCTTCCTTCCTCTCTGTAAAAAATCAATAAAATACATATTTAAACAAACAAACAAACCAACCAGCTTCCAATGCTGAGGTGAGACGGTAAGACTAGCCGTTTGGCAGCTTTCTGCAAGTCACTGCTCACACCGAGCAGGTGCTTGGAGCTGGGGACAATGCACTGAGCCGAACACAAGGCCCTTTTCCCAGAAGGCTCAAACTCACCCGCCACCGTGGCCCAGTGGCTGAGCGTCGATCTCTGAACCAGGAGGTCAGTTAGATTCCTGGTCAGGGCACAGGCCCGGGTTGCAGGCTCCACCCTCAGTGTGGGGCGTGCAGGAGGCAGCCGATCCCTGATTCTCTCTCATCACTGATGTTTCTGTCTCCCTCTCCCTCTCCCTGCCTCTCTGAAAGCAATAAAAATATATTAAAAAAGAAAAAGATATCAAAAGGCTCAAACTCTAGCGGGAAAGTCAGATGGGCTGTAGACCAGGAGCGGCGAGGGCCAGGAGGCGGCAGCCACCTTAGCGCCGGCGGTCCAGACAGGCCTCTCTGAGGCGGCTCCCAGCACAGAGGGTGCCGGCGCGCGCTCACCTCCATGAGGCAGAGCAGCTGGATCTTCCTCAGGAGCTGAGCTTCGTTGGCGGCGAGGTCAGGCTGCGAGGAGAGAGACAGGTCACCTGACCAGCAGGGGGGACAGACAGGCTCCGACCAGCATCAGGCCCCGGGCTGCGCTGCGCTTTTCGCAGGAAATGACCAGAACAGTGCCCAGCGGGAGGCTGTTTCCCAAGACAAGGACCTGACCGGCAGGCTGTACTCCTGTCAGACCGCAGGGGGCGGCCGCGGGGCCTGAGGAGCACGCCTCCGTTCCAGGGACGTGTCCTGAGGGAAGACAAGCTCCCAGCTTCCCTGGGGCAGCCCAGGCGGCAGTCATCTGCTGAGCGCAGAACCACACCCAAGACGGGTCGGGTTCGTGACCCCAGCCCCGCTCCTCTCCCCGCACGTGCACGTGCAAGGTCACTCTGTCGGAGGCCTGTCCCCCTCCCCGGCGCTGTCTGCGGGGCGGAGCATGACAGCTGCACCTGAGCTGCCTGCCTCGGTCTCCCCAGCGCCAGCGGGAGAAGCAGGCGCAGGCAGCGCGGCCGGGACTGACCTGCTGGCCCCAGGCGGCCTTCAGCGTCTGGAACTGCTCCACGTTGCCGCTGTTGAAGGCATACAGGGTGTCAATCAGCCACTGCCGGTCGGTGCCCCTCAGCGACTCCAGCACGGGGTGCATGAGCTGCGGGACAGAGCCGGTTAGCTGGCAGCGCGCCGTGCCCGCGGTGACGCGTCTGTGTCCAGGGCCCACTTACGAGTTCTCCGAAGTTAAACACTCCCTCGCCGAGAAGTCCCGCCAGGCCCAGTGTGAACGCTCTCTCCTGCTGCTCCGGCACTAGGAGACAACACCCCGTCACACACGTCACGGGCCCCGTCCGGCTGGACCTTAAAGGCCTCACAGGGAGAAGCGGGCAGCACGTGCTGGGTGGTCACGGCAGAGCTGACAGGTGCCACCGTGCCAGCGCTGGGTTCAGGTTACGCGGGACCCGCCTTCCCGGGCTCTGTGGGAAGCGCACTCGCTCCCTCACTCCCCCCAAATCCACGTGGCGACCTACAGTTCCGCTGTGTGCTCCCTGCCCTCGGATGGGAGAGCGAGCCCCTCACAGACCTCGCTCAGCCCCTTCCACCTAGGACTGGCCTCCTTTGTCCCACCCAGAAGCCCCTTGTCCTCTGGACACAGTGGCTGCCTTGCCCCCGGTGCTCCCGGAGAAGCAGTGATTCAACTCACTACACTTCCAGGAGGTGCTGGTCTGGAAACCTCTAAAATCTGCTGGAATTTCCTTTGCAAACACACACTGCACTCTCCCCAAGACTCTGGTCACTTTCTTTCCTCCCTCAAATCCGTGAAAGGTTTTTGTCATTCGCTCCCTGGGCCTAGCATGTTTTCAGAGGGTCTCAGGGCGGGGACGGGGTCCAGGCACTGACGGGGTGGGGAGGGGGGGGGCAGTCGGGCTCATTCCTCCTGAACCAAACAGCAAAGGGCAGACAGCGCGGAAACTACGGCTGCCACCACCTTCCTGCTCCGACCACGGCTTCCTGACCACGGGGTACGGCCCCCGAGGGCCTCCTGAGACCCGCTGCCTCCAGCCCCTCCCGCCGTGGCATCTGCAGGCTCACCTGGCAGGTCCTTGATGTCGACGCAGCCCAGGAAGCGCAGGGCGTCCTTGTAGTAGGACGCGTGGCTCCCCACCGTCTGGTAGTACTTGCTGGAGAGGTCGTAGAAGCGGCTGTGAACCGACGTCACCCCAGGCAGGTTGCTGAGCATCTCCTCCACGTCTTCGATGGTCTCCTGCTCACAGGGAGCAAGGTGGCCTTGCTTTAACTCACAATGTCATAAGGTGATAGGTGACAAGGTAAGAAGCACACTGCTTTTCATTTGGGTGTTAAAACAGAACTTCAGCCCAGCCAGGGGAGCTCGGTGGGGCGTCCACCCCTGCACCAAGAAGTTGCCAGTTCGAATCGCAGTCAGGGCACATGCCCAAGCTGTGGGCTCGACCCCCAGAAGGGAGTGTGCAGGGGGCAGCTGATCAATGATTCTCCCTCTCCCTTCCTCTCTAAAATCAATAGATTAAAAAATAAAAATGCTCCAGGACAGGAAACGGACATGATGAGGATGCAGAAGAGGCAGGGCAGCAGCGTGCGACCGGAAGGGCAGACCCTGGTCAACAGGGGCCACAGGCTGTGCCTGGTGGAGGCTGTGACCCCTGCGGGGCCAGCACGCTGGGTGCTGCTTGTGGGTAACGGCGACTTACCAGCAACTTACCCTCAAGCGGTTTTTGAGGAAAAAACCACACACACAGAATGATGGGCAAAGCGGGGAATGTTAACAACCTGAGGTAAGGGCACAGAGAGCTTTATGATATTCTTGCAACTTTCCTGTCACTTATTTTAAATAAACAGTTAAAGGAGGGAAAATAGGATTTCCCCCTGTAGTTTTTTTTATCATTGTAGCTAACCCTCATCTAAGGATATTTTCTCCATTGATTTTTAGAAAGTGAAAGGGAGGGAGGGGGGAAGATCAATGTGAGAGACACACAGGGAGCGGCTGTCTCTCCCACACACACTGACCGGGGCCGAGCTGGAACCTGCAGCACAGTAGGTGCCCTTGACCAAGATTCAAGCCCATGGCCCTTCGGTGTGCAGGCCAGCGCTCTAACCACTGAGGCACTGGCCAGGGCTTAAAGAACCTTTTAAACCACAGACAACCCTGTGGGATGGCTCAGCTCACCTTTGTGACCTGCAGGTCCCCGATGTTCAGCTTCAGGGCGCCGATGGCCGTTTTACAGAGGATCACGGCCTCGTCGCTGCTCTTCACCTACAGACGCGGAGACAAGGAACCTCGGAAGCGCGGGCAGCGGACCCGCGGCAAGGCCCCCACACCCTGCGTGGCTCGCGCGGGCACAGCCTGGTCTCTAGGGCTGTGGACAGTGAGCACAGACACAAACACGTGTTTCAGAAGGTCTGGCTCCAGCGTCACACGTACCTTCTCACGAGTCTTCTCCAGAAAAGTAAGCGCCACGTTAGGATCTAGAAAAGGAAGCAGAACCAGCTCAGAAGCACAGCCAACGGGCTCTTTACAGACTGGTCCTACCAGCCAGCACGCTGTTCAGGGGGGGTCACCTTCAGGTTTGGACACAAAATAAGATAAAAACATTAGAACCAGATATTTCCTATCAAAACGCAAAAAGTCCCATTCCGTATGTTTCGAGGCCACGGAAGCAGCTGCCACATGGACTCGGTCCTGTCAGCAGCAGGCCACTCACCCGTCATCTGTCTGACCACGTGGAGGATGATTTCCACCAGGGACAGGGGGTTCACCCTGAAACACAAGCACAGCCGTCAGCACGCGGGCACCAGCGCTTTCCTTCCCAAGTCAACAAGCAGAGTTGTACCTGTGCTCGAAGTCACTGATGAAGTTCTCGTACAGCTGTGGAGCCAAAACATGGAGAAAGTCACAGGATGCCTGGCATCTGCAGACCCAGCGGGGACCGCACAGGGCGGGCACGTTTCCCAGGAGACCGCGTTTGGTTATTAGGTTCACATAAGCGTTCACCAATGAACGCGAAAGCCAGCTGGGTTGTCTCTAGCTTGGGGCATTACACCGGCCCTAGAAGGGTCTCCTGAAGACCAATTCCCATTTCCTCCTCAAAGCACTGAGTGGAACAGGCCACCAGCGCGAGGCCCAGGACCCTAGCAGATGAGAAGACGGCAGGCTCACGAGGCCCCATCTCAGATCCCCAGCCACGCAGCAAGTACCTGGCGCTTCCCCAGGCTCCGCTGGGGTCCTGGCCTCGTGGAGACTCGTGAACAAATAAATGGCGTCGCCGAGAACTCAGGAGCAAGGGAAATCAAAGCACAGAGGTGGAGCAGCCCAAGGGAGAGGCTCCCCCGGCTGGTGTGGCTCAGTGGATAGAGCATCGGACTGCGGACTGAAAGGTCCCGAGTCTGAGTCCCGTCAAAGGCACATGCCCGGGCTGAAGGCTCCATCCCCAGTGAGAGGCGTGCAGGAGGCAGCCTATCGATTATGCCCTCTCATCACTGATGTTTCTCTCTCTCTCCCCTCTCCCTTCCTCTCTGAAGTCAACAAAAAAGTATATGTTAAAACAAAACAAAAACAACAAAGGGAGAGGTTCCAAAAAGTGATGGGTTCTAAGGAATGCAGAGCAAAGAGGTGGCAAGTTTGGTGCGGGAGAGGGGCAGCTGGAGAACACTCCAGATGTGCCAGGCGGCGGGGAGCATGGCCGCATGCTGGAGAAACCCTGCCCAGTGCAGCGGGAGTATTTCCGAAGGACAGACAGCGAGCGGGAGGTCAGGGCTGAGCCTCGCAGACACGTGCTCACACGCCTGTTCTGACGAGATACGGGAGCGTGCTATATGACTGCACTTCAGGGATTTAGAAGACAGAATGTGCGTCACTTATTCGCTGTGATCTATGTCAAGTCACGAAAGCTCTTGGCCCTGCTTCTACGGCACAGAGGTGGGTCACAGCACGGCCGTCTCCCAGTGCTGCTGTGAAGAGTAAATGTGTGGCCGAAACCGGTTTGGCTCAGTGGCTAGAGCGTCGGCCTACGGACTGAAAGGTCCCAGGTTCGATTCCGGTCAAGGGCATGTACCTGGGGTGCGGGCACATCCCCAGTGGGAGATGTGCAGGAGGCAGCTGATCGATGTTTCTCTCTCATCGATGTTTCTAACTCTCTATCTCTCTCCCTTCCTCTCTGTAAAAAATCAATAAAATATATTTAAAAAAAAAAAAAAAAGAGTGAATGTGTGAACAGTACTTGACACAGCGACTGCTGGCTCAGCGTGGCGTATTGCTATTGCAAAGCCCACCGCGATCTTGGCGTCTCTGAGCACATTTATGCCATGTGACCTGGCATGGCAAGTCACTTACCTTAATAAGACCATCCCCTTGGGCAAAGCACGGGTCCTGCACAAAGTCAAGCACCTGCAGCGTCAGCTGATGCCACAACCTGAAAAATGTAAGACCGAGAAACTAATGTCCGGTCACAGGCACGGCCAGCCCTGGTGCGGGAGCAGCGGCCTCTCCCCTGTGCGCCAGGATGGGTGCCACCGAACCCGCCTTCTTTCCCGGCTCCGCTCCTCCACGGTATGACCCCCGAGATCGCCTCTCCTCTCTGAGACCCAGCCTCCCAGCGATGAGTGGAGAGCTCTCTCCAGACCACCTCCCCGGGTTCCTGTGAGGTGCGGCTGGAAACAACAGCTCTGGAATCGTGCCCATTCCAGCTGACACCCCCGCTCTCCCGCCTGGCAGCCGAGCACCTCAGGGAGGGAGCCTACGCTGGCTCGCTGCCTCATCTGTGAGCGGGGTGACTGAGAGCGAGTCCAGGAAAACCTCTGGAACGACAGCACGTTTGAAACCAAAGGCTAGTTTTTACGGAGGCAAATAGGCGGCCTTGAAAAATACCAAGTGCTGCCCGGTCCGCGAGGCTCAGCGGCCGAGCGTCCACCTGTGCACCCCGAGATCACGGTTGATTCCTGGTCAGGGCACATGCCCGGGTTCCCCGACTCCACCCGCGGGGGTGTGTGTGCAGGAGGCAGACGGTGGCTCTCTGCCATCATTGGTGTTTCTATACCTCTTCCTTCCTCTCTCCAATAAAAACATGTATTTCCTTAAGTATATTCTCACTTATTTCCCAGAGGAAGGGAAAGGGAGCGTGCAACCAAATGCAGAGTCAACGCGGAAAAGGCAGACCCACGCCGGCCCCGGCCCCCCCGTCCAGGGGGAGCGGGCCGCGGGCCGTCAGCAGGACAAGGCCGAGCGCAGGACGCCAGGACCCGCTGTCCACAAGCAGGCGCGGGCTCGCTGGAGGGGAACGAGGGTGACATCACCGCGCAGCCCACAACCCTCTCCTGAGACCAGCAAACTCGGACCTCCGCACGGCCCCTCGGCAGGAAGGCGAAGGCAGTGACCCCTGGGCCCCCAAGACCCCGTCCGCGTGGCTGCCACCCCGCTCCTCGGACCCGACCTCCCCCGCAGGTCCGGGCGCTCCCGGCCCCCCGCCCGCCCCCTCCGCGGCGCCCGCCCCGGCCTCACTTCTTCGTGTAGAGCTCCTCCAGACGGTGCCACACGGCGGCCTCGCCGGGCCCCGAGCTCTGGCTCTGCTGGAGGAAGCCTGGCACGTCCTTCATGTCGGCAAAAGAAGCCAGAACGCCGCTGCCACAGAGAAGTCCGCGCCGCGGGGACGGCTGCCGGAAATGCTCACTCACTTCCGGCGCCGCGCCGCGCGGGGCACGCCGGGAGCGCCGGCGGCGGCACTGGGCGTCCGCCGGTTGTCAGGGTAACCGCGCCTCTGGTGCCCTGAAGGGTGAGGAGTTCGCGCCTAGGGTCAACGGCCTGTGTGGCCTCGGCCCTTGTGGCCCGCAGGTTCCTATCGCAAGGGCGGCGGTGACAGGACGTTCCTAGTGGTGTCTCGGGACACAGCGTGCGGGCGCGGCCTGCTCTCTAGGCGCCCACGGAGCGTCCCCGCCCCCCGCTGGAGGAGGCGGGCGCGCGGAGACATGCGCACTCCTGCTGGGGTCTCGGGGCGGAGCTCTGCCGGCTGGGAACCGCCTTCACCTGGCGTCTACCGCCCCCGGGCCGCGCAGGGCGGGGCTGGGGTAGGGAGCGCGCGGGGGCGGGGCGAGCGCGCGGGGGCGGGGCGAGCGCGCGGGGGCGGGGCGAGCGCGCGGGGGCGGGGCGAGCGCGCGGGGGCGGGGCGAGCGCGCGGGGGCGGGGCGAGCGCGCGGGGGCGGGGCGAGCGCGCGGGGGCGGGGCGAGCGCGCGGGGGCGGGGCGAGCGCGCGGGGGCGGGGCGAGCGCGCAGGGGCGGGGCCGTGACCGGGCGAGGGGAAGACGACGCTAGCGAGCGGGCTCCGGTGAACATGGCGCAGTGGGCTCGGCCTGCTATCCGCGCTCTCAGGCTCTGGGGCCCGGGCGGTGAGCTGGCCTGGGCCCGCCGGCCTCGGTTCGTCCGGGTAGCAGCCGCGGGGCGGGCAGGGGCTGACGGGTGCCTCGGGGCGGCCGTGGTGGCCGGTGGCCGGGTGAAGGCCCGCAGGGGGTTCAGTGCCCGGCGAGGCGAGGCGACCCTCGGGCTCCCCGCGCGTGGTGGGCGGGGCGGCAGCAGAACCTGAACTGTCCGGAGCGTTCCCGGCTCAGTTCTCGTTTCTTCTCGCGGTTCCCGGGGTGACCCGCGACACCCACGTGCCGGTTGTGGACATCGCGCCCTTAGTCCGGTCTGTACCTGCCCTTCGCTTAACGGTACGTCTAGGACTTCCTGTCATCTCAGAACCGGCGTTCCCTGATTTGTACAACTCTCTCATTGAAGTAGTTGCTAATCTCTAGTTACTCCAGACAATGCTGCGGTGAATTACCTAGTTTGTAACTCACCTTTAAAAAAGTACATTTTTATTGGTCTCGGAGAGGAAGGGAGAGGGAGAGAGAGAAACGTCCACCCACGGCCTCCTGCAGGATCGGCCCGCAGCTCCCCACCCCGCATGTGCCCCGACCTGTGTGATCAACCTGACCTCCCGGTCAGCGTTCACCCGCTGAACCCCGTGAACCCCTCCGCCAGGCCGTAGCTCACCTTTTGGGTAAATTGGTGCCACTCCCGGGTCCAAAGCTGAGCGCATTTTTATCGTCCCCTGCGAGGTCGTGCAGGTGGCGCCCCACCTGCGTGTGCAGAGCCCCCCACGGTCACTGTGGACTCTGGATCCTTGTGTGGGAACTGAGCTACCCGTGGAAAGCCCTTAAGGCCCATGGTTGTTAGGAAACCAATTTAACTGCCGGTAGCGGACGAGTCTTCAGTAAATGGCGATACAGTCACGGGATGCCACCTTACACAGCTCCTACCAGCTGTGAGAAGTGAGATGGGGTGATACCGAGGCGTCTTCTTCACCCCAGAAACCTGTAAACCCTGGGTCTGCGAGGCACAGAGGCGCTGGGCGGACCTTGCTCCCTGCAGCTCGTGCGGCCCCAGGCTCTGCAGGCCGTTGAGAGGGTCATAGCTGAAGAGTGACCTGAACTACCAGGGGTCGCTTAAGGACCCGGACTATCATTAAAGGACTCGCCGCCCCGTCCCAGAGCAGGAGGCACGGGCTGTGAGGAGCAGTGCCTTCGCACCGGCTTCCTGCTGTGGAATTTCTGCCCTTTGAGGTGTTGTTTTTTTTTAAATACATTTTATTGATTTTTTTACAGAGAGGAAGGGAGAGGAATAGAGAATTAGAAACATCGATGAGCTGAAACCGGTTTGGCTCAGTGGGTAGAGCCTTGGCCTGCGGACTGAAAGGTCCCAGGTTCGATTCCAGTCAAGGGCGTGTACCTTGGTTATGGGCACATCCCCAGAAGGGAGTGTGCAGGAGGCAGCTCCCGGCCACCCTCCCTTCTCTCAGTTTTGCAGGTGCAAGGCCGCCCACGTGTCTTTCTGCCGGTGTCGCCAGTGTCTTTGGAAATGGAGGCGACAGGACGCAGGAGCTCTTCCTGCAGGACGTGGCCGAGCTGATCCGAGCCAAGGCCTGCCAGAGGGTGGTGGTCATGGTGGGGGCTGGCATCAGCACGCCCAGCGGCATCCCGGACTTCAGGTGCCGCCCGGCCCGCGCCCCCCCAGCGCCCTCCCCCCGCCCCTCCCCCCACCCCTCCCCCTCCTCACTCCCCTTCTTCTGAGGCTCTGGCTCCTCTGGCAGGTCTCCAGGGACCGGCTTCTACAGCAGCTTCCAGCACTGCGATGTCCCGTACCCGGAGGCCATTTTTGAACTCACCTTCTTCCTCCACAACCCCAGGCCCTTCTTCACGTGGGCCAAGAAGATGTACCCGGGGAACTACAGGCCCAACGTGATCCACTACTTCCTGCGGCTGCTCCAGGACAAGGGGCTGCTCCTGCGGCTCTACACTCAGAACATCGACGGGCTGGAGCGAGGTGAGGCCTCCCAGGGCCTGTCCACACCCTCCCTCCCGCGGCTCGGACACCAGCGCCAAGTCCGGGCCTCACCGGGCCGCTCACCAGCACCTGCTGTGGTGTCTGGAGGAAACTGGAGCTGACACCGGGCTCCAGGGTTGCTCGTCTCCTTTCTTACCTGCTGTGACGGAGCTTCCCGAGCCCGTGAGGACCAGTGCAGTGAGCCCTCACCCCGTCCTCGCGCGCTCACCCGTCCTCTCACCTCCACATCCTTGTGAAGCAAGTTCCTCACGTTATACATTTAACCTACAAATCCATCATGGGTATCTCTAGCAGACAAGGACTTTTATTTTTCTTTCTTTTTAATTTTATTTTATTGTTTAAAGCAGTGGTTCTCAACCTTCCTAATGCCGCGACCCTTTAATACAGTCCCTCATGTTGTGGTGACCCCCAACCATAAAATTATTTTCGTTGCTACTTAATTGTAATTTTGCTACTGTTATGACTCATCATGTAAATATCTGATATGCAGGATGTATTTTCATTGTTACAAATTGAACATAATTAAAGCATCGTGATTAACCACAAAAACAATATGTAATTATATATGTGTTTTCCGATGGTCTTAGGCGACCCCTGTGAAAGGGTCCTTCGACCCCCAAAGGGGTCGCGACCCACAGGTTGAGAACCGCTGGTTTAAAGTATCACAGATAGTACGTATGTCTCCTTTCCCCCCCCCCCCATTGACCTTCCCCTGGCCTCCCCTACCCCCTGGCACATGCCCTCACCAGATAAGGACTTTTAAAATGTAATTGCGATATTATCATCACGCGGAGGACTAGTGATTCCTTACATCATCAGGCTCGGGGTGTGGCGGGTGGTTTCCCGTGCGGACGGAGTGGATGAGCAGCGATTCCCAGATGGCGCTGAGCACTGAGCGCTGCCGTGTGCCTTCAAGGAGCACGTGCTGGGCCCTCTTCCTCCTGCAGTGACGCCGACCTGTGCCCACGGAGACACGGCCAGCTGCCCACCACGCAGCCAGGCGTCACCTCGACTTCGAGAAATGCTTCCTTGCTAGCAGGTCGTCCCGCAGGGGGCGCCCTGGAGGGACTGTGTGCTCCTGGGCTTTCCTGGGTGTGGAGTCAGGAGGAACGGGGGAGGCCCCCTGCAGCTGGGACCATCTGTCTGCCCACAGCCTTCAGAAGCCAACCGCCGGAACAAGCTACTGTTATCTGTTTCTCCACAGGTTTTGGAAATGTGTTGCATTTCTGTTACTTCCTCACCTTTACTTGGTGTCTGTGGAGTGAGGTGTCTTCCTCTGCGTGGGATAGTTTGATCTGAAGGTGCATCAGATGTGCTTGTGCTGTTGACAGGCTGTCTTCACCGAGGCTGGCTGGTCGGGGAGCCCCCCTCTGAGCGAGGGACTCCGGGGCCCACGCTGTGCTCTGGGGCCTCGGCGTCCCCCCTCCCCACCCCGCCCCGGCAGCGGGCTGAGCTGTGGTTTCCCTTCCAGCGGCCGGCATCCCCGACTCCAGGCTGGTCGAAGCACACGGCTCCTTCGCCTCGGCCACCTGCACCGTCTGCGGCAGAGCCGCCCCGGTGGAGGGCTTCTGGGTGAGTGGCCGGGGCCTCTGCTTCGCGGGCTGACCCGCAGGCGGTGCTGGCTTATGAACACGTGTCATAAAGACGGACGGTCGTAGTGGGCAATGTCTTTATGTTAAGGTTAGAACTGTCATACGTGCTTGTAAAAGGCGAAGGCAGGACGGAGGTACAGGGGAAGGTGACTCTCCCACCAGCCACCTGTCCCAGGTGGGTGTATCGTGTTGCCGCCTTTAAGAAAGATCTGTGCGCATCACACTCACCTCCTCCCACACGCAGCCCCGGTGTGTGCGGTGCGGACCGTGTGCTTAAAAGGACAGCTGCCCTCAGGGAGCGCAGAGCCGCGGGCAGCGCGGCCGTGGGGAGAGGTCTGCCCGCTGTAGCAACACGGGCTGCCGGCCGCGCCTCCGGGGACGGGGACGGCTTGGAGGCCTGCAGTGCTTCCTGTTGGCGGAGCCGTGAGGCCCAGGCCCACTCAGGCCTCAGTGGGCCGGCTCCTTCCGGCGGAGTGGGTGGAGCTGGGCATCTTAGCGATGGCGTGGGGCCCTGTCTTTCATTTGTGTTGAGGTGAAGGTCACACAACCCAAGGTGACCTGTGGTAAAGGCATCTCTACCGTCACCGTGGTGTGCAGCCACCCCCTCTCTAGTGGGAAACACGTGCTTCACCCCAAAAGGGAACCGGGTCCACACATCCGTGAGCCCGTCCCGCCACCGCGCCCCCGGAGTTGGAGGCACAGTGGAGCCTCTCCCCGCAGCTGGGCGCTGAGACCAAGGGGTAACCCGCACGGAGCAGCCGCTCCTTAGCACATGGGCTGGTCACGCTGCTCAGCTGCGGGAGGGAGATCTCGTTGTGCCTGTGCCCGTCATGGTTGTGCTTCCTCCTCGGCCCTTCCCGTGTCCCCAGGCCGAGGTGATGGGGGACAGGGTCCCCCGCTGCGCAGTCTGCACCGGCGTCGTGAAGCCCGACATCGTGTTCTTCGGGGAGGCGCTGCCCCAGAGGTTCCTGCTGCATGTGGTGGATTTCCCCTCCGCAGACCTGCTGCTCATCCTGGGCACCTCCCTGCAGGTTGGTCCCAGGGCAAGGGGGCAGTGGTACAGGGAGAGTGTGGGGAGCAGGAAGTGTGGGGGGTCCAGGGGGTGGTGGTGCAGGGAGAGTGTGGGGGGAGCAGGGAGAGTGTGGGGGGTCCAGGGGGTGGTGGTGCAGGGAGAGTGTGGGGGGAGTAGGGAGTGCGGGTGTGTGGTGCAGGGAGAGTATAGGTGGGAGTAGGGAGTGTAGGGGTGGTGGTGCAGGGAGAGTGTGGGGGGAGCAGGGAGTGTATGGGGAGAGCAGGGAGTGTGTGGGGAGAGTGTAGGGAGAGTAGGGAGTGTGGGTGTGCGGTGCAGGGAGAGTATAGGTGGGAGTAGGGAGTGTGGGGGGAGAGAGTACATCCAGCCCCAAGAGTTGAGAGAGAAGCGATTACGGATCTATGACATTTTTTGTTGTTGTTGTTAATCCTCACCTGAGGATGTGTTTTCCATTGATTTTGAGCGTGGAAGGGAGGGAGGACAGACAGGAAAAAAGAAACATCGATGTGAGAGACACACATTGATTGGTTGCCTGCTGCATGCGCCCTTGATCGGGCCAGGGATCAAGCCTGCAACCGAGGTACATGCCCTTGATCTGAATCGAACCCGAGACCCTTCAGTCCGCAGGCCGATGCTCTATCCCAGCCGTGGGCAAACTACAGCCCGTTTGAAATGAATAAAACAACAAAAAAAAGACCTTACCCTTTTATGTAATGATGTTTACTTTGAATTTATATTAGTTCACACAAACACTCCATCCATGCTTTTGTTCCGGCCCTCCGGTCCAGTTTAAGAACCCATTGTGGCCCTCGAGTCAAAAAGTTTGCCCACCCCTGCTCTATCCACTGAGCCACACCGGCTGAGGCTGTCACACTGACTCTTGAATGAGTCAGGCCTGTCAGGGTCTGCACAGGGAAGGCGCGGAGGGGCCGCCCCCAGTGTGCGGGGCTGGGGTGAGCTCCACTGGTCACGGGAAAGGCCACATCTCACACTCACTCAGTGCGGGACCAGGTCCTTGCCCTCGGAGCGGAGTGAGGACAGACCAGACTGCCGTGTGCCAGGCCGTGCTGGGGAGGACAGGTGGTGAGCCTGCCAGGGAGACCCGCCGAGGCTGGCAGTGGGACGGGACTGACTGGGACGTGGTGAGGGACCAGCAGGAGGGCACCGGCGGGGGTTCCTCTCCCGGGTCGGGTCGCACGCAGTCTCCTGAGGCCGAGGCTGGACACGGCTCCTCACGTCCGGCCGTGTTTCAGGTGGAGCCTTTTGCCAGCCTGTCGGAGGCCGTGCGCAGCTCGGTGCCCCGCGTATTCATGAACCAGGAGGCGGCGGGGTCCCTGGCCTGGCGCCCTCGCAGCAGGGACGTGCTGCAGCTGGGGGAGCTGGTGGACAGCGTGGACAAGCTGGTGGAGCTGCTGGGCTGGACGGAGGAGCTGAAGGACCTCGTCCAGCGGGAGACGGGGCAGGTACAGGCTCAGAGAGTGACACTGACCCTGGCTGTCACCCTGGACCAGCCTGACCTGGGCGGCTGCTCGCACGGAGTGTGGTTCCTGTGACCTCGGGGGAGGGGCTCGAGAAGCAGCGGCGGAGCCCGCTGGCCAGGGAGGCGGGACCCAGGGGCCTTTGTTCCCTGACATAAAGCAGGACGGCAGCTCCAGGCCGGCAGCTCCAGGCCGAGGCGCGAGGCTGAGCTGACGGGGCCAGCACCCTGAGACGTGCAGTTCTGTGCGTGTGGGATGGAGCCCGCGGGCGATGCTGACCGTGGCCGCGCTGAGGGTAGAAAGAGGTCTTAGAGCCATGAAGCTCCAGGTGTCCAACCCAGACAAGCGGTTACAGAAGATGGGGTTTCCCAGGAGACCCCCATGTGGCCGTTCTGGGTGACTTCCCCAGGAGGGGCCTGGGCACCTTGACCAGCTCTGGAGGGCGCACTGCAGGCCGGGAGGACCGCCCGCCCGCGGGAGTCACCAGGGTGTGCTGGTCTGGTTCCTGAGGCCCCAGGCAGATGTCCTGGGAACCCCACCCTCCGGCTGTGCTGTCACCCCACTGGCAGAAGCCCCCTCTGGCCGCAGCCTCATTTCCTGCCAAGTTGGACCAGAGAGAGCTGAGGCCAAGGGTGAGACTGCCTTGAGGTCTCCGTCATTCCAGGCCTTTCGTTGGGTCTGGTTCTCAGGGCTGAGACGTAGGCTGGTGCCATGTGTCACGAGGAAGCGAGTGAAGACCTTCCCGGTCCCGACGCCCACGGGCAGAGGCACAGCCTGGCGTGGTCGCCGGCAGCTTCTGGGGCTCCCGCTCGGGCCGACCTCTCCCCACCGCAGGGCTGCAGGGAGCTCTGTGGGCGGGGAGCTGGTCCTGTAAGACCCGCCCTGCGGCGCCTCCTGGTCTCACCAGGTGTAAGTTGGGTTGTGATCTCTGGTTGAGTTGCTGCCCAGGAGGAAGTGCCGGGCCGCTGCTGGCTGCTCCCGCGCTGCTGGCGTCAGCTAATGGCGCAGCAGCAGCATTTGTGGACAGAACGCTTGGCTTTAGGGTCTGTGCCGCTGACCTCTGCTGCCCAGGGGTTTCCAGGTCACCGACGGCCCTCTCCTCTGTTCCAGCTCAGCGGCCGGGACAGATAGGGCGCCGTCCCCTAGCAGAACCGGGTGCATGGAGTCACCTCGCGTTTCCGAGCAGACCTCCTGCCTGAAGGACAGCTTGGGCAGGTGTGCGAAGTTTGGCCCAGAACATGGACCGGGGGGCGGAGCATGGTCCCTGGCACCGTTCCCGCCCTGTTCCTGCTGCGCTGCCCCCCCCCCCCCCCCCCCCCCCCCCCCCCGTGTACGGAGTCCCGCCCACCCTGCAGGTCCCTCTTCACTTGGCGAGGAGACCCCGGCGACCCCGCCGACGCAGGCCGCATCACCCCGTGTCCAGGCCTCCACCCGCAGGGCAGGCTCCGTGTCTGTCAGAGGCCTGGCTCCCACGCCCTGCCCTGGGCTCTGCTGGCACGTCCGGCTCCTCGGGAGCGTTCCTGTCCTTCACTTCGGCGTGAAATAAACTTCACTGTAGGCACTGGGCGTCCTTTCATTTCTGTCCCCGCAAAGGGAAGGCAAGTGCTGGCAGTGTGTGTGGAAAGGGGACACGGGGGGCCCAAGGACAGAACATGGGTCCCCGCGTCACCCCTCACGTCCTGTTCACCTGATGCCGGCCTTTGACAGCCTCGCCCAGAAACCGTTTGTCCCAGACCCTGCGCCTCCCCTTGCGGCACGCCACTAGGGTTAACCTCAGACGCAGACGGCACCCCCAGCCCTTCCCAGCTGCTGCCCGCCTGCTCCCTCCTTCCTGGCATCATGGAGCAGTTTAAGGATTCAGCTCCTCAGGAGGGCGTCTGGTGGCCTCACTCAACAAGAAAAGACGACTGTCACCCCAGCCAGTCTGGCTCGGTGGATAGAGCGTTGGCCTGCGGACTAAAGGGTCCCGGGTTCGATTCCGGCCAAGGAAACACGCTCGGGTTGTGGGCTCCGTCCCCAGTAGGGAGCATACAGGAGGCAGCTGATCAATGATTCTCTCTCATCGATGTTTCTCTCCCTCTCCCTTCCGCTCTGAAATCAACACAAATATATTAAAAGACTTGAATGTCAACCTGGGAGAAGTGTTCAATTGTGCAAAGAACAAGCCGTTTCTTTCTCAACGCGCCTTTACTGGGTATTGACACATTCTCACAGACACACACACACACACACACACGCGCTCTTGCCCGAAACTCCGGGGTGTTTCGGTGACGCTTTGTGGGACACGGAAGGGTACAGAGTAACGGGCCACGAGCAGCGAGTCCTCATGCGTTTATGAGCCACGCCAGGGGCGTCAACGGAGAGTCAACTGTGAAACTGGGGGAGCTCGGGCGCCGTGGACAGCCAGGAGCAGCTGAGCCAGGACCCAGGAGGCGCTCCCTGGGGACGGAGACAGCACACAGCCCTCGAGAGTGTTTCTGACATTAGTACACGTTCTAGCAGGTTCTTTCCCCCAACCGCCTGGCTCTGGGCTTCCTTCCCCAACGCAGGCCTGCCCTCTGGAGCCGCCGCCGCACCCTCCTGGCTCACGAGACCTGCCACCTGAGGAAGCCGGTTTCCACAGTGACAGCAGGACGAGGCCTCAGTCCCAGAGGCGAGAGCGGGAACAAAACTTAGGGAGTGAAGAGCAAGGGGCCGAGGACACGGCTGGAAGCAGCACCGGCTCCGCCGGGCAGGCGGCCGCCCTCAGTCGGGGTCCGAGTCTGCGTCGGAGGAGAGCTGGCCCTCCATGCTCTCGCACATGGCGTCCTGCAGGGAGGTGAGCTGGCCTTGGGGACTCACCCCCATGGGCTGGATGACGCGGTGCCTGCAGGGAGAGGGGTGGTGGGCGGCGTCCTGCTCCGGTGGCCGCCTTCGCCCCCCAGGCTGCCCGCTCACACTGTCAGCCAGGCCCGAACCCTAACTGCTGCCCAGTGGCCTGGACCCCTGAGGCAGGCTATGAGTTTTCTGGGCCTCAGTTCCCGTCATCTGTAAAAAGCACATAATGTTGCCCTGGCCAGTTGGCTCAGTGGATAGAGTGCCGGCCTTCAGACTGAAGGGTTCCGGGTTCGATTCCGGTCAAGGGTATGTGCCCATGTTGCAGGCTCCATTCCCAGTAAGGGGCGACCAGGAGGCAGCCGATCAATGATTCTCATCATTGATGTTTCTCTCTCCCTCTGCCTTCCTCTCTAAAGTCAATAAATGTATTAAAAAAAAAAAAAAAAAAAAGACATAACGCTGACCTCAGCTCTAATCACCGATCTAGAACAGGTGATTCCAAACATGAGGAACAGACCCGCCAGGCCCTAGGCCTCCTCTGGCCCCGCCTCCGGGGCTCAGGACAGGCCTTGGCCCTCCGGCCAGACCGCGTACCTGGAGAGCCGGTCGAACATGTTCACCAGCTTCATGGCCTCGTGCTCCTTCTGCTCCTCCGTCATGCCCTCCATGGGGTTGGGCGGCTTCTCCTCCACCCTCCCGGTCACCGGGTTGATGCTGCTTCCCGGGGAAGGGGCATGGGGGATGCACTGAGTCCCCGGCCAGGAGGGCTGTGGGTGGGGGCACTGCCGGGGAGCCCTCTCCCAGAGGCGGCCAAGCAGCTCCTCCCTCAGGCTGGTCCCCCGGGGACAGGCCCAGGCTCAGAGTCCACCCCCAGCCCAGGGCCCAGAGGGTGGGGAGCCCGAGGGTGCGCAGACACACCTGGCCTTGGCCTCCTTGTACTCCTCCGTGTCCGTGTCCTCGTCCTCCGAGTACTGGCCCTCAGGCCGGCCCCCTGCCATGAGGCCCCGGGCAGCCAGGAGGCCGGCGGCGTTCCCGTAGCCCGTGTACTTGATGAAGCGGGGCACTGCGGGCAGAGGCGGGGCGGGGTCAGCGTGCGCACTGGCCGGGGGGGGGGGGGGGGGGGGGGCGGGCTGGTGGCCGGGGCGGGGCCGGGGGAGGGCTGGTGGCCGGGGCGGGGCTGGTGGCGGGCTGGTGGGCAGGGGCGGAGCCGGGCTGGTGGCAGGGGCGGAGCCGGGCTGGTGGCCTGGGCGGGGCTGGTGGCCGGGGCGGGGCCAGGGGCCGGGCGCCCACACTCACCGCTCTCCGAGCACAGGACGAACAGGAACTCCTCAGCCACCCGCTTCACGTCGGTGTCCAGGTGTGTCATGAGGCGCACCAGCCTGTTCCGCAGCAGCTCCCCCACCTCGGGCCGGGTCTTCACATCCCTCAGCGGGGGCAGCACCTGGGGGAGCACCCGTCAGCCTGGCCTGCAGGACGGGGTGACCAGGGCCCGCCCGGCCGCTGCCATACCTGGGCCTTTAGGAACTTGCGGGCAGGGCGGTGCAGGCGGGCGCACTCGGTCAGCACGCTCAGCACGGGGGCCACGCCCTCCTTCAGCCGGTGCGTCTGCGGAGGAGCCGGGGTGAGGCGGTGAGACCCCAGGCCAGCCACACGCACCACGCGCTGGTCTCAGGGAGGAACCGGGTGGGACTCCCAGGCCTCACGTGGGCTCTGTGGCTCGACTGCTCGAGTCCAACTCCCTCGCCCACACGCCAGGGTTGTGGGAAACACAGCATTTCACGCTGCTAGGACACCACTGGCACCAAGTCGCCCTCAGAAGACGGTGGCCAGCTAGCAAGGACAAACCCGCTCCTCTGCAGGGAGCGCCTGCAGCCCCGCACCGCTGCCTGGTACCTCCCTGCACCCCAACACCAGAAGCGGTAGCGACAGTGGCAGGGACAGATGGTCACAGCCACGTCCAATGCTAGGTGTGTGACCAGCTCTCCGTGAGCGTGGGCGACGTGGATTCCGAGGGAACCACTGACCCTCCGTCTGGCTCTGTGGCCTCACAGCGCCTGGGAGCTCCCAGAGGGCTGGTGAGAGCCCGCCCGCCGGCCGGTGTTGGGCAGCTACAGGCCTCAGGAGCCTCCGGCTCGGGGTTCCTGTGGGTCATGGGACAGCGGGTGCTGGTCCCCAAGAGATACCTGTGCACAGTGACACTGAGTCCAGGGTCCGGACCCCTCAAACATCTAAAACACAAGCACTACTGAGCTGACCTCCACCAGCCAGTGGGAAGCAGGGCCCCTGGGCAGCCCCCCGGCCCCCCCACCTGGTGCAGGCGCTTCTCCAGGAAGCTGAGGAGGGCGCCCATCACGTCCATGTTCACGCCCAGGAACTCCAGGGAGCCTTTGCGCGGCTCCAGGGCCAGCAGGACGTCCAGACACTTGACGGGCAGGTTCCCCAGGAGGTTCACTGCGTGGCTGGGGACAGAGGGAGGAGCTGGGTAAGCCCAGGCCCCTGTGCAGCACGGCTCTCGGTGCACCTGCTGTGGCTACACGTGACACGAGCCAGCAGCCAGGGCCCTAAGGAGCAACACGGGCCGGAGCTGAAGGGGGGACTGGTCTCAGGGGCGCACGCGGGGAGGGTCCCCGAGGAGGGCGCCCCGCCTGCCACCTGTTTGGGCTGAAGCATCCCAGGCGATCTCCGGAAGCCAGCACCGGCCCGAGCGCTGGTCAGTGGGAAGTGGGGAGAGACCAGGCCTTCCCTGCCACTGCCCAGGGCCCCGCGGCACAGCCCTGCCCCTCCCATGGGCTTCTGTCTCAGCCTTTCTGGAAACCCTGACGCTGGTCCCCCCCAGACGGGTGTGGGTGCTCTAGGGCGAGCTGGGACCACCGTCCAGACAGGTGACTGCCCCTGCCTCCAGCACGACGGGCGGCCTCACCCGTGGAACTCCTCCGTGCGGTCCCCAGCAGCGGCCACCATCACGCAGTGCCGCAGCAGAGTCCCCAGGCGCCGGTAAAGGGCAGCGTCGTCCTGACCAGAGAGAAGGGGGCTCCTGTGGCAGAGCCACACCCGTCCCGCTGCCAGCGAGGTCCTGCTGCCTGGGCCACGCGTGCGGACTGTCTCCTCTAAGGCACCCCGCTCCCCCCCCCCCCCCCCCCGAACGGCCATGGGTTCCTTGCGTGACATCACACTGTGTAGGGAAGTTGCCCGGAGCCTCTCGCCGCAGCCTCCCCCGCCCTCAGGAACCTCCCTGGACGCCGCTGCCCAGAACGGACACCCCCTCGCTGCGGGCTGAGCGTCCTGTCCGAGGCCGACACCCGACACACGAGGGTGCCCCTCAGCGCGGCAGGTCCAGGAGGCACCAGACACGGGCGCAGGGCGGCCCTCACCTCGTCCACTTCCCTCCTGACGGAGTCGAAAGTGATGTTGAAGAGCACCTTGAGGACCTCCATGGCCCGCTCCGTCTGCGGGGGAGGGAGGCGCTCTGGGGGGCTCTGGCCCGGGGCCACGCCCAGCGCCAGCTGCAAGGCCTCGGTGAGCAGGGGCACGCCCTGCAGCTCCTGGAACAGCTGCTGGCGCACCTCGGGGCGGAGTGCCGTGAGCAGGAACAGGAGGCGCAGGTCAAAGAGCTGGACCTCGTGGGGGAAGCTGCTCTCCCCGTGCAGCCCCACGCGCTGGGCGAGCCTCACCACCAGGCGGGCCTCTGCTGCCAGCGCCTGGGCCTGGGGGCTGCTGAGCACCAGGTTGCACAGGCACTTGAGGGATTCGAGTACAACGCCCATGTCCAGGGGCCCAGGGGCCGCCCCCTCGGCGACACCGGCGTAGCACGCAAGGGCCTGCAGGCTCTGGCGGCTGGTGAAGGCGTCCAGGCAGCTACGGTCCCTGGACAGGATGCGGATGCTCTGCAGCCAGGTGACCCGGCGGGAGGGGGGCAAGTCCTGCTCCAGAACAGAAACCAGCAGCTCCGCCAGTCTCTGCGGGGAGAGGAGAGCGGCTCCACCCAGACCCCCACCAGGAGCCACCGGCCTGCCCCCCGCCCGCGGCCAGCACGCACCTGCCTGTCCTCCTGTTGGGCAGCATCGAACGTGAAGCTCTGCGAGTTCTGCGGGGAGACGGGAGGCTCAGGGCACAGGCCGCAGGCACCCCCGGAAGGATGGCGCCCCACCTCACTCACCTGCCCCAGGTGCGCCGCCGGCCTCCCCAGCCGCGCCCCGCAGCCTCGGCGCCCCGCCCGCCGCGCTCGCTCCCCGTCCCACTCCCGCACCTCCGCCGACCACGCGCGAGCCCCACCCTGCCCTCTCCGCCTCGCACGTCCCACGTCCACGGTCCCGCTCACCTCGCGGTTGTACGCGCGCAGAGCCTCCATGACCACGTCCTCCTCCCCCGTCTCCAGGGCATCCGCAACCGCTCGGGGCTCCATGACGACCCGGGCACCCGGCGCGGGGAAGGCGGGAGGGGCTGGCTCCGCGGTTCCGGGGCCCAGTCCGCCCGCCCCGCCCAGGTTCGGCGTGCGCGGCGCCGCGGGGGACGGAACCTGGGCTGTGCGCGGGCGAGGCGGGGGCGGGGCGTGCGCGCGGGGCGGGGCCTGGGCTACGCGGGGGCGGGGCATGCGGGGCGGGGCGGGGCCTGGGCTGCGCACACCCTAAGGCGGCGTGACGTGAGACCTGAAAGCTTTGCCGCGGGCCAGCCCGGGGCTTCAAGATCAGACTTGGTGACCGTGGCCTCGGGGCCGGAGTCGCCTGGGGCCGGACAGTGTGACAGCCTCCGCTCCACGGGGCGGGGCGTGCGGCAGGGGTTGCGGGTGGCCCCGCGCGGGCTCAGAGGACTGGCGGGAGGAGTGGCAGCCGGGCCCGGGGGGTGAGCGCGGAGGCAGGAGAACGCGCGGGGAGGCCGCAGGGCCCGTGCGCAGGTCACCCTTTGGGAGGACAGAGACGACAGAACGTCCCGTTCCCACGGGGGGCCGAGGAGTCGCGACACAGCCAGCGCCCACCGCTGCGCGGGGGGAAACGCAACAAGCACTGTTGCGCCTCTGTTGTCGCGCGTCAGTCGGGGCAGCCCCGCGCCCCGCCCCGAGCACACGCCCCGCCCTCCCCAGCGCGTCACTTCCTTTCCCCGCGCCTCCCCAGCCCCTCGGCCGGAAGTTGACGGCGGAGGACGGAAGGGGCGTGCCGGAAACGCCCTCGCGTGACGGTGCCACGTCGCGGGAGGCAGCGGCGAGTCGGGGCCCGGGTCGGGCCGGGCGGCGCGATGGCGGACTGGGCTCGCGGTGAGCCCGGGGAGCGGGGCCGGTGGCCCTGTGGGGACCTGGGGGGCGGGCGGGGCGGGGTCGTCTGCTCGGGGCCCCGGAGGCGGCGTGCTGGGAGGGCCGCAGTGGGGTGTCGCTGAGCTGCCTTGGCCAGTAGGGATTCGTGACCCTGAGTGGCCAGTAGGACGCGCTCCCTCCTCCCTGTGGTGTGGACACAGGGGCGACTCGGGCCGCGCCCCCGCAGCTGGGTCACGTGGGGCGTCTGGGTCTTGGCACCTGATGCCCCGGTCTCGGCAGGCACTGAGCTCATTCAGGGGCGCACCTGGGCCCTGCCCTCGGAATGGACATCAGCCCCCCTTCTGTTGTGGGGAGCGTTGCTGAGTGGTTTTCTCCCTGGTCACTTGTCACTTCAGGACTCAGTTTACAGGGGTCCCCGCAGGGCCCTCCCGCCGGCCCTGGCCGCCGCCTGCGCGGCTCAGAACAGGCCCCAGGCGCTCGGAGGGCGATGTCCGCGGAGGGGGCGCAGCTCTGTCACGGACAGTGTCCGGCAGCGCCCGTGTGACAGCCTGTGGGGTTGTACACTGGGGGTGCCTGCCCGCCCGGCCTGGGCGTGTAGGTCGGGAGGCCCGGAGGCCGCCCAGGGCCCGCGGTGGGTGTGCCCCTCAGCCTCTCTCTTCCTGCAGCTCAGAGCTCCGGTGCCGTGGAGGAGATGCTAGACCAGGAGAACCGGCGGATGGCTGATAGCCTGGCCTCCAAGGTCACCAGGCTCAAATCGGTCAGTAGTGGGCCACTGTCGCTCCAGCGGGCACCCTGGAGCGGGGCCCGAGGGGGTAGAGGCCTGGAAGGGTTTCATGGGCTTCCCACCTGTGTGAGGCCCAGGTGACACCTGGACCTGACCCCTGGTGGTGGCAGGGTCTGTTGGTCTCGTGGGGGGTCAGGTCCTGTGCAGTGGGTGTGCCCTGGCCTGACCCCCCTCCCTCTGTGTCCTGACCAGCTGGCCCTGGACATCGATAGGGATACGGAGGACCAGAACCGGTACCTGGACGGCATGGTAAGGTCTGCGACTTGCAGGCGTGTCTCGGTCAGCCCGCCCTCTGCCCGCTGGGCAGCCCTGGGGACCGGGGAGGCTCTGCCCGTGTGACCGTGCTGTGTTCCTCCTCCAGGGCTCGGATTTCATGAGCATGACAGGCCTGCTCACGGGGAGCGTGAAGCGCTTTTCCACGATGACGCGGTCTGGGCGAGACAACCGGAAGCTGCTGTGCGGTGTGGCCGGGGGCCTGATCGTGGTCTTCTTCATCCTCTACTACCTCCTGGCCAGAGCAAGGACGTGAGCCAGTGGAGCTGGCTCCGGGGGTGCCCTGGGCAACTAGGGTCTCCTGCCCGGTGCCTGGCTGCAGAGGACCTGCTACCTAACACTGCTTTGACATGGTGACCGTGGCTTAGGGTCTCCTCCCGTGTGGCTGGGAGACCAGCTGCCTCCGACCTGAGCTGTGTGGCTGGCGCAGGGGCCCCAGGTGTTCGCGGCACCGACAGCCTCCTAGGAGCAGAGCAGCCGGGAACCCTGGACATGGCCGCCCGTGGCCCGCAGCCCTTCCCCAGCCCTCGGCTCTGATACCCCATCCTTGTCTGGGAAAGGCCGCGTCTGCTCTCAGGTGCCTGGATCTGACGGAAGCAGGTGAGGCTGCGAACCTCAGATCAGCGCCATCTTCCCCACGTGGGTTCTAGCCCAGGGTGGCAGTTCCTCCTGCCCCAGGCTGCCGAGCACAGTGGGTGGGCGGCGGTGCTGAGGGCCGCCGCTCAGCCTCGGCCTGCCCTCCATTCCTGCGGCTGAAGCCAGACTTCCGGGGAAGAGCAGGTGGTGCGGATGAAGGAGTGGAATGCAGTCCTGGCTGGGGGCCCAGGCCACAGCCTTCTGGATCTCGCGGCCGTGTATCCAAGAGCAGAAATCCACGTTTTCTCAGGATTGAGGATCCACCCAGAGATGCGTTTCCTGCAGACCAGGGCTCTAGAAGCAGGTCCCTTTGGCAGTTCAGAGTCGGGCAGTGTGCGTGTGTGCGTACACGTGTGCGTGCACGTGCATGAGGGCTTCTATGGGTCTTGACAGCGGGCTTCCCTGTAAGGAGCCTGTTTGTAGGACCTGTGGTCACTTCTTGAGGGTTCCTGGGTAATTCCCTCTGCACCAAGCCAGCCCTTCCTCCCACAGGGAGTCCTCCGTGCTGTGAGGGAGCTCTGAGCCAGACCTCCTCCCCAGCTTCTGCAGCCTGTCCTCCCGACGGCCTGTCCCCGGGCCCTAACTTCCCACTTGGCAGGCCCTGTGCCCACACAAACCAAACTCCAGGCCAGCGGCTTCTAACCCCAGGGTGACCCCAGTGCCCTTGTCCTCACATAGAGCCAGTTATTGGCTCTGTCCTTCGAGCCTTTGTTCCTATCCTCTGCCTTCCCGGTCTCCCATTACTGCCCGCAGGCTGTTGGCCCACTGTCCGCCTGCCTGCACCGTCACCCCATGGGGCTTGTTGGCTCCTGCCATCCGCTGCTCCCCCCAGCAGGCCGAGCCTGTCCTCATGGTCACCGTGGTGTCCTCCAGCCCACCTGGCTGGGCGCCTCGGCCTCCGGGAGGGGTCCAAGGTCTCTGCTCTGCCTGCCCTGCCCTCCAGCGCATGCTCATGTCACCGAGCTCTCAAACCCACCCGTCTCTGGGGCTGCTTCCCTCCATGGTGGTCCAGCCCTGTGACCCCGGGCACCTCAGCTCTGGCTCAGCCTCTGCTTCTCTCCAGTGAACCCCGTCGTGGGGGCCCATCACCACGCGGCTGCCGCTGCCTGCCATGCCTCCGCCCGGTCCTGCAGACAGCTGAGCCCGCGCTCCACGCCCCCACGCCTCCCTGGCCTGCGGTGCTGGCCTCGCCCGGAGAACATGGCTCTGCTATGGCACGAGGTCACCACGCCCCAGGGCTCTGCCTCTCGCGGGTGCGGATGAGTGCGGTTCTGTCGGGCGGCCTCCGGGAGCGTCCTGCTCTGACTCCGCTGTGCTTGCCCACCTCCGTCGGCAACTTCAGCCGTTTTGGGGCCTGGACTTCTTGCTTCCCGTTCTTGTGTGAGGGTGGATTCCATGAGGGCGGCACGCAGGCCGGCACCCTCGGCACAGGTGTGTGTGCACACGGCACCTAACTGCTGGGAGGGTTGCCGACACTGAGCCCTCAGAGCAGCCCATCTCATGTGAGGACGACCTGCCAGGCTCCCCCACAACTCAAGGACGAGACAATAAAAATTTGGAATAAACAGCATTTCCCTGGGCTTGAGGGCTTTGTGGCACTGACCCCAGTCCCTGGATGCTGTGGGCACCTAGGGGCTGGGCCCGTCTGCTTCCCCTCTTGGGGCTCTCCCAGGTCCTTGCTCCTCACTCGTTCCCTCAGACACGTGCTCTGCTCAGGCTCAGTAACAGCCAGGGACAGGGCTGCATCGCCTGGTATGGGGCCAGGGAGTGACCAGGCGACAGCTGACACCTGCCCTGTCCTGTGCTGCCTGCCTGGCTGGGGTGGATCAGGGCACCCTACCAACTCACTCAGCCGTGGCCGGGTGCTCAGTGGCCTGGGGCGTGACCCTGTACACCAGGAGGTCACGGGTTCGGTCCCGGTCAGTGCATGCAGAAGGCAGCTGGCTGGTGTTTCTCACATTGATGTTTTTCCATCTCCCTGTCTTTGAAATTAATAACATATCCTCCTGTGCGGACTAAAAAGGCCCACGCGTCAATCAAATCGCAGTGAGCCCGGCTGGATGGCTCTGGCTGAGCGTCAGCCTGTGAACCAGGAGGTTGTGATTGGATTCCCGGTCGGGGCACGTGCCGGGCTGTGGGCTCCATCCCCAGTGGGGGCCGTGCAGGAGGCAGCGGGTTGGTGATTCTCATCGTTGGTGTTTCCCTCTCCCTCTCTGAAATCGATAAGAATATTTTTTAAAAAGTCACAGGTGACCGATGGCCCACAGTTAGTGGCTGGGACAGGACAGGCTGCGCCAGGACGCCAGGCCTCACCTGGACAGGCTGGCTGCGCCACCGGCGGTTGCTCCCACGGCTGCAGGGCAGCGCTGGGTGAGCGGAGGTCGGACGGGCCAGCTGCCCAGGTGCTGCAGGTGCTGCACCCCACAACGTGGTGCTGTTGCTGAAGGGGAGCAAGGTGGGGTGGGTGTCCGTGTGCTGTGTGGCCCAGAAGTCACCCAGCAGCAGTTCGGGGCGGTCACTGCAGATTCGAGGGGCGGAACAGACCCCTTCTCTGGGGTGGGGAGAGCCCATCGGGAAGGGAGAGCGTGTGGGAGAGGCACGGGTGTGCCCAAGGGGTCAGGGCAGCCTCGCCCCCCCAGCCCTCCTGTCTGCCCAGACCCCAGGCTGGCAGCGCTGGCCCCTACCCCAAGACAAGTCCATAGCAAATGGAATCATGATTTATTATATATGTGGGCACACAATTAGCAAGGGGATGCATAGAAAAAACATAATTGTCCAAAGAAGCGTGCTTCGGCCCGCGGGCCAGGCGGGCGGTGGCTGGGCTCTGCCCATCCCTGCCCCGCCCGGGGCTAGTCCACCTGCAGGATCAGGGGGGTCATGTAGTCGGAATGTTTGATGCCAAAGGTGACGATGGGGGCGCAGGGCTTGGTCAGGGTCACCTGGCGGAGGAGAAGCTGTGAGGGGCCGGCACCCCTGTCCCCACCCCACAGGCCCATCTCCCGCCCCAGCCAGTCTGGGCCGGATCTCCCTGGCCCACCCTCTTCCCTGCACCCCTCGGCCTCCCAGACCTTCTCGGGGCTGTGGGCTCCTGGTCCTGGCTTGAGGGTCTTGTCCCCCGGGGGCTCCACTCGGGCCGCAATGGTGTACTGCGGAGCCTTGAACTTGGTCACCTGCACGTCGGTCTGGTGGTAGGCCGCAGGACCTGGGGTCTGGGAGGCGAGAGGCTCAGACGGCTTGGCTGCCAAGGCACGCGACCGGAGGCCAGGGCCAGTGCTGGCCGGGGTTTCCGGCCCCAAGTCACTGTGCCTGTGAGTCAGGGCCCTCCTGTCTCCACAGCGTTCCCCGTGGCAATGAAGCCGCAGTGCTGTGGGTCCCTGTGTGGACGCCCCCCACCCCCCAATTTCAGCCTTGTGGTGGCAGTGATGCCCCAGCGTGTGGCAGCCCCGGCTCATCCCCCCTGTGAGCCGTGAGAGGCCACTGCCCGCTGGGACCTGTCCTGTGGGCCTGGCGGTGGGCGGGCTGGACAGCAGGGTCGTCGGAGCGGCTCAGCATAAGCCCACCCCCAGAGCCCTCCCCCCGTGCTCACAGCTCAGGGTGTCCTCCCTGCCTCCTGCCAACACAGGGCCCGGGGACCCCTTCGCGGCTCAGCCCTCCTCCGCCCTCGAATGTGGCCCAGGCACGTGGCCGACGCCCGAGGGGTGAAGCGATGAGGGGCCTCAGGAGGGGGGTCCTGGGGGAGGGGTCAGGCGGGCCCCCTGGCGCCCCTTGCCTTATGCAGGTCTTCGCTGAAGCCGCCCAGCTTGCTGCGGCCCTTGATGGAGTAGGAGGGCTGGGAGGCCTTGCCAACCGTGTGGGGCCCCATCACCATGGGCAGCATGTAGGCGGCAGGGCCTGCGGGGGGCGCAGTGCTGAGTCTCCGTGGCTCCGCCCTGGGCTGCCCACCTGCCTCACCCGGGTCCCCACCCGCTCGGCCGCGGACCTGGGGTGCTGTCCACCCGGAAGGTCTTGGTCCGGGCAGAAATGGAGTGGCTGGGCGCCGAGTCGAACACATACTTGGTAGATTTCTCTGGAAAGTAGTCGCCTGCGGGAGGACAGGGGCAGAGGGGGTGCTGGGAGGCCAGGACCCTCCTGCAGAGCCTGGCCCGTGCCGGGGCCTCAGGAATGACCCCCAACCTTGTAGGTGCCGGGCCCTGGGGGCCCCACACGGGGCGGGGGAGGGGGGTGACTGAGGTGGGCGGGCGGTGTGCCGAGTGCAAAGGGGGCATTGGGGTGGGGCAGGGGCCCAGCAAGGCCCAGGTCATCACTGGGCCAGGTGGTCAGGGCTCCCCCGGGGTCAGCAGCTCCGAGGAGAAGGCGCCCAGGCTGCCAAGGATGTGCTCCCTCCCACCCCAACTCCAGCTCGACTCCGGCTCAGCTCCGGCTCAGCTCCGGCTCGGCTCTGGGTGCAGTGGCTGCCGCTGGGCTGGGCTGGGCCACCGTCACTCACCGGGGCCAGGGGTCATCGTGGTCTTGGTGTGGTAGCGCCCCAGGATGGAGAAGGCGGGGCCGAGGTCCTTGCCAGTCCTCAGTACCTTGGGGTTCACACTGTAGCGAGGCCCTGGGGAGCAGTTCTCGGCCAGGAGCAGAGGGGCCCCGCGGAAGCTGTAGGCCGGCGCCCGCACCTTGGTGGGCGTGTGCTTCATGAAGCCTGTGGGCGGGGACTCTGAGCACCCCGAGCCGACCCAGCTCCCCAGCCTCCTGACCCCAGAGGGGTTGATGCGAGCCCCGGGCCACCCCAGACCTTCCCCATCCCTCCTCACCCCTCCCCAGGCCCACCCCACACCTGGCTGGTCCCTCCCACCCCTTCCAGGCTCAAGGCACCTGCCTGTGGTGGGTGGAATCAGGTACTTGGGGCCCGGGCTGCTGTAGAGGGCCATGATGGGCCCCCGGGGGCGATGGGGCCTCCAGGTTCCCACCCATACTTCTTCTGTCATGGCCGGCTCTGTGGCGAGGAAGGTGAGCACAGGCTCAGAGGCCCGCCCTGCCCCATGCCTGCCTCTGCCCCCACAGTGGGCAGGGCTGCAGGTCCCCCACTCCTCAGCAGGGCGGCGAGCTGGGGCCCACGCCTCAGGGCAGTGGACGCTTCTGTGGGTTTGCTCTGCCTCCCCAGGCCCAGGGCAGCAGCGTCAGAGCTCGGGGACCCGCCCAGGCTGGCTGTCCCTTCTGGGCCTCCCCAACCACCCTCCCTGCTCCAGGGGGTCTGGCCAGCTTCCTCCCGCTCAGAGGGTGCTGAGCTTGCCGGCCGGCTGGGCAGGGGGTGGAGGTGGGAGCTTCTGGGCTGAGGCTGTGCTAGGGGGTGAGCGAGGGGCTCTCTGGGAGGCCCTTACCTGGTCCAGGGGCGGTGCTCCGAGCAACCTATGGACCGAGCCTCCTCAGAGGTGGTCCCGTCGCATCGTCCTCCGTGTCAGGGAGTTCCCGAAAAAGGGACATGGAGAGGAAGGCTTCCACCTCCCCCTCCTCTCCCACCGGGGGGCTTTAAGGATCGGGGGGGGGGGCCCCGGCCCCTGGGCTCTAGAATGTGGCTCTGTGGGAAGGTGGGTTCTAGATCGCCGGCTCTGTGATGCAGACAATGGCTTCTGTTAGAGGAACCCCGCCCCAGCCAGGCCCTGCTCCCGGGTGGCCCAGGAGCAAACCTCTGAGCCCCCCAGCAGCGCCCACAGAGCAGGGAGCAGGCAGGAGGGGCTTGGTCCCAGGTGAGGGTGGTTGTGCTGGGCGGGCGGGCGGGAGCTGGACGGGGGCTCTGTGCTGGCGCCCTGCTGGCCAGCGGCCCCTCGGGGTCCTCACGGCCGGCGCCTGTCTTCACCCCTCGGGGTTCCTCCTGGGCTCCTCCCGTGGGCGACATCGGGGATTGATTGCTCTCAGCCCCCTGGACCCGGGCCCTGTGCTCACCGTGTGTGCTTCTCGTCTCAGAGCGAGCACCCTCCCAGCGCCCCCAGCCTGGCCACTTCCCCTCGCCTCCCTGCCCGCCTGGCTCCCAGCCCGTTCCCGCCCCCACCGCCGGCTGCACGCACTCTCCTGCCCGTGGCCTCCCTGCCTTCCATCTGCTCGGTCCTTCGGCCTCCACGGGCCTCAGACTGGATTTCCTCAGGGAGGGGAGGGGGTCTGCCGTCTGTGTGGGCACTTACAGGTGCATGCTTCATGCGTGCAACCCCGTGTATGGGCGCCTGCGTGTGCACGTGCGTGCGTGTGCGTGTGTGTGTGTGTGTGTGTGAGTGTGTGTGTGGTTGTGAACCTGCGTGTGTGAAGAGACAGGAGCCAGAGCCTGGGCTGCAGGAGGCTTTATTGATTGAACGGTTGTGGATAAAATCACGCTGGGGAAGTGGCAGTGGGTGGCGTGGCCACGGCGGCTCGTGTAGCTGGTCCTGTGGCTGCTCGTGGCCACATCCGGGTCCCTCGGCGCCGTGCTCAGCCCAGCACAAGCACCTGCAAGGCAGACACCGGGGTGCCCGCCCCGGCGACCAATTACTGGAGAGCCGCGGGGAAAGCAGGCGCAGGCCACCCTGTGGGGGGCCTGTGGGCTCGGCCACTGCAGCTGGGGCCCTCCCAGCCACTGGGGAAGTGGGGTGTGTGTGGGGGGTGCTGCGGGCTGCTCCCGGGCAGTGAGCCTGGACGTCGCCCTGATGCTGAGGCAGGTTGGGGTGCGTGGGCTGCAGGCGGGGGAGGAGGGCGCCCCCCAGCCACGGTACCAGCAGCTTGATCAGCTCTTCCTTGTGCGTGGGCTGCAGGCCGTCTATGCAGGACTTGAGCGTGGTCAGCGCCTCCCTGCACGCTGCGTTGACCTTGTACTTGGCCAGGGGCCCGGTGTACAGCTCCTCCGGGTCCCCCACCAGCAGCGTTTGCAGGAATTCCATGAAGAACTCGCTGTTGTCCTCGTCCGCGGCCAGCCCTGCACGGTGGGGGGACAGTGCCGCCCTCCCTTCCAGGTCTCCCGCCTCACCTGCCCCAGGTGTCCCCCACGCTGACCCTGCCTCACCTGCCCCCCGATCTTCCTCCACAACATCCCTGATCCACCCGCCTGCGGACGCCGCCCATCACCCTAACCTCAGCTTTCTTCACTCCAAGCTTCTGGGTCCGGGGGTCGGGGTGGGGGGACTGAGCCCAGGTATGGGAACTCCCCCTCCATGCGAGCTTGGCCAGCCTGCGGTGGGTACGGAGTTGGCAGGGGCCCGGGTGGTTGCCCACGTCTGTTCTGTGATGGAGGAGGGGGTGGGGTCCTGGGAAGGTGGGCGCTGTCCACGGTGAGGGCCCAGAGGCTGGGTTTCTAGCTTCCTAGCCTCCCGCCAACCCCCCACCCCCCAGCAGAATGTGCTGAGGCCCCTGGCAGCGGACTCACCGCAGGTGCAGAGCAGGGTGGCGGCCACCAGCAGGAGGGTGCTGCTCCCCTTCATGGCGACGGCAGAGGTGCCCCAGGAGCGGCCTGGCAGGCTTTATGTCTCCCGGCAGGGCACCCGCAGGGGCGGGCCGACCTGCCCATCAGGACCCGGCCAGTGAGAGCCCAGGCAGGAGGCAAGGGTGTGTCCTCCCCGCTCAGTGGGTCCTGAGTGGCACGGACTGGGTGCTGTGCCAGGGCTGGCTGGCACATGGGCGAGTGGACGGGTGAGGGGTGAGCGGAGCCTGGCCAGTGAAGGGGGACGGGGGCTGGGGTGCTGGGCCTCTGGCCGTGGCTCAGAGTGGGGGGTTCTGGGTGGGACCCGTGTCTTTCTTTGCGGGGGAGTCCCCTCCACTCGCCGAGCCTGGGCCTCAGGCCGGCGGTCTCCCTGCGGCAGGCGTGGCAGCAGGGCCCGGGCCGGCCACAGAGGGCCTGAGCGGGCACCAGCGTCCGGGGGTGGAGGGGGGCCTGAGGGGACTTGGGTGAGAAGCAACCACCCTGAGGCCTTCCCGGCAGGAAGAGGGGCCCCAGGGCAGACACCCCTTCCTCTGTGGCCCAGCCAGCCCGGAGAGGCCTAAGATATGGGGGAGACCGTCCCAGCCCCCCAGCCCCCAGCCAGATGCCTGGGAGCGGCCAGGCCTGGTTTCAGGAGCCCTGCTGCCCCCTGGTGGCGGGTGGTTTCCTGCGGGCCGGCCGCTCCCCTGCACCAGGCGGTGGGAGTCAAGAGGCCCCAAGCTTTGCTTTGCGGTTTGCCTTGTGCACATCGGGGGCGGGGGGGGGGGGGGGGGGGGGGGGTTAAGAAAAAGGAACCAAGGAAGGACCTGCCACTCTCCCTGGTGCTTCCTAAGAGACTTCCTCGGGGCGCCGGGGTCTGGGAAGGGAACGTAGCACAACCGCCTTAGCTTTCCACGCGGCACCCAAGCAGGGGCCTGTGGCTGTGGGGTTGCCTTTCGGCAAATCACCTGCCGAGTGGCCTGCCCATCACCCTGCCCCCCCGCCCCCCATTTTCACCATCGGCCCAGAGCTGAGTGGGGGCCGCGCGGGGGGCCCCCTGGGCCGTTCTCCCCTCTTGGGTGCGTGTTTGAAATGGTCCAAAATGAGGTCCCCGAGGCTCTCCCTCCGGCCCCGGGAAGATTTCACCATCACCTCCTCCGGCTGCCCTGCCCTGTGAAGGGGCCGGCCTGGCAGCGTCCCTCAGCCACGGACCCTGTCCTCACTGCCCGCGAGTCCCCGCCAGCGTGCGGCTTGCCGAGGCGATCTGCGAGGATTTTCACCCGCCTGGGTTTGGGGAACAGAAGCGTGGGCAGATCACACCGCTGGTTCGAAGCAGGAGGTGCGGCCGGAGGGCAAAGAGACAAAGTCTAATGCTATAAACGCCGGCCCGCCGGTCCGCGGGGCCGCGGTGGAGCCCGACGCAGAGCGGCCGGGAGCTCGGAGTGGCGTCCCGGGGGTGAGTGGCCCCGCAGCGGGAGGTAGGGGGTCCTGGCCAGCTTCCTAGAAGCAGAGCCTGCGACAAGGACTTTGTGCCCCTGGTTGAGGGGGGGCGCTCTCGAGAGAAGCAGGACCAGGCAGGTGACATGAGCCAGGGCCGGGTGTGGTCCCAGCTGCCCCCGCGCTCCAGGCGGGTCCCGGTGGTGGGGGCTGCTCCGAAGCAGAAGCACAGACTCGCGCCCACCGTGAAGCCAGGAGGCGGGGTTTCGTAGGCCAAGATGCAGGGTTTGGGGAAGGGTGTGACTCACACTCCCCAAAGCGGGCAGCAGTGAGCCCTTAGCTCCAGCAGCCACAGCAGCTGGAAATGGGTGTCCCCCCCAGGAAGCCGGGGGTGGGGGGCGGACAGCAGGTGCCCCGTGGAGGGATTCCCGCCCTAGAGCCCTGCCCTGCGGGCAGTCACTGCCTTGCAGCTGGTTGGGGGGCGGGGGCGCCTCAGCCATTCCATTCCCATCCCACACTCCACTCACAGAGACAGGACCCCACGGAGGGACTGGGCCTTTCCCAGCACGCAGATCACCTGGGCCTCTCGCACCCCGGAGGGGAGGCCTCCGTTTCCCGCAGGGCCCTGCGTTCGCAAGTGAACCCCTCTTTACACCAGCACCCCGTCCTGAAGCTCCGGGGGAGGCTGGCTTTGGTGCACTCACAGCTGTTTTCTAACCAGCATCTCCTGAACCCCAACCCTCTGAGGGGGTCCCTGGTCCCCTACTCGTCCCTCTGTCACGTGGTGTGACTTGATACCTCTCAGCTCCTGCCTGTCTCTGCTTGACCTGCATGCACATGCGTGCACACGTGGGCATTCTCACGCAGGCCTCTGACGAGGTCATGGCTCCTCTGCCAGGCTTATACTCTTCCTGATAAAGAGAGAGGAGGAGCACGTTCCCCAAGATTCCAACCCCGACCGCGCGGGTGCAGGAGGTCCTGTGTGAGCAGCCACGCTCTGCCGTGCTCCGTGCTCCGGCCGTGGCGGTGGCGGCGGGCGGCGGGCGGCGGGCGGGAAGGAGCCTGGGGAGGCCGGAAGGGCGGGCCGCCTGGAGGACGAAACCCTGAGCAGGGTGGGAAGGAAGGGACAGCGGC